GCTTTGGACAACAACAACAACAGGGATCATCATGAATACTATCCACGCGAAGCGTCGGATCCCAGAAAACGATCCTATGAAAGGCCGGCTGAGAGAGGCCGAATGGGTCAGCACTCATTTTCACCTGCAAGTGACGTGAGAATTGTGAGAAACCATATAACCTCTCCTGCAGCTCCCCAGCCCTCCCGAGTGTCTCCTCTGGCGATGGCCAAAATGCCGTCCGTTCCACCGCACAGGCCGCAGGATTATCGCCAGGAACGTGTGCCCACCGATCCGTATTCGGGACGGACTAGTCCAGAAGTTCCCGTACAACCACTCATGCCTCGCAAGCGTCGGCGGCTGCAGGAACCTCGGGACAGACCAGGCCCCGCTGCACCGCGAAGACATGCCGCCGATTCTCCTGAGCCCTATATCAAGGAAGAACCCGCGTCGCCTCCTCCGTTTACTGACGTTCCCCCTGCGTCGGGAGGTCGGAGTCGACCGCCTCAGGAACGGCCCGTTTACATTGATGTCACGTCCCCTCGGTATACACCGACCATTGACCGGAGAGAAGCGATTTCCAGGGAATCAGTCTACGAATATGACCGATATGGCAACAACGCTCGGGACTATGACGCCCCCATGGAGGCGCGGACTGCTTCCCGCATGGGGACGCGGAGGCCTGCCCGCGATAATCAGGATCTGAGGCGCGTTGCCAGTCTGCATCATGCGCGACAGCCAGAGGTGTTGTCTCGCGAATACGGAGAACCGCCACGGTCGATGCGGGCTTCGTCGTACGCCGTGATCGAACGTCCTACTCATCACGAGAGAGCCAGATACTACGAGGAGACGGTGCCGTCATACACGAGACGGTATGCACCGGTCGAAGAGCTTCCGCCGTCGCCCCGATTCCGCGAAACATACGTGGATGAAGAGCCGCCTCCACCGCGTGTTGTGGAACCTCCCCCGCGGCGGATTGTGGTGGACGAGTATGGAAACCAATACTACGAGACGGTGCCGGCCTCCAAAGTGCGTGCGATGCCGCCGCCTCCCCCAACTCGAGTGGCGAAGGTGGATGATTACAATGAACGGGCGCATGTGCGCAACGGCAGCGTGCGAGCGACGTCGATAGTGGACGATCCGTATGGGGATCGGAGATATGTCCATGAGATGCCGCCCCCTCCACCGGCCACTTATCGACGGGTTGTTGACTATCCGCGAAGCGTGGTGGAAGAAAGGCGGCCGTACCCTCATCCGGTCGCAGAGCGAGAACCGGCGTACCGCAGCAGCAGCGTGGTGGTCGACTACGCACCGCGACAGCAGACGTACGTTGAGGACCCCGAGATGCCGCGCGAACGGGTGGTTCGGATGTCCAGCGTGCGGCCGCCAGCGAACCGGTACGACGAGCCGCGGGAAGCGATACCGCATCGCGTGCCGAGTGTGCGACCGGGCGGGCACGAGGTCAGTGGGTATGCGGACGACGAGCTTCGACAGCCGCGAGAGTACGTGGATCGGCCGGTGTATACGTCGGGGCGGCCGGTGCGAGACGAGCGATACTACGAGGAGGAGGACGCGGGGCGGATGGTGCTTGACGGGAGCGGAGAGGGCATGCACCGAGGCCCGCAGCGATATTGATGGACGGTTCATTCGTTTTGTGATTGTCTGTACCATAGCCTTCTATTGCCTGGTGGCATTGCATTTGCGACATGTGGCAGCATTATCATATTGAGAACAGGAAGCCTAATGATGGTAATCGGGCACGAGCAGATGTGTATTTCATTTGGCAGGGCATAGGATGGGTTCCTTTATGCTAGTTATCTCTATGGATTTGTTTGTAATGCCTAGTCTATTCAGCTGGTAGTAGTATGCGATCGATTGAGCTGGTAAATAATGAGGGACGATGCATTCGCACGAGATGATTAGGTTGCCGGTATTCTTAGTGATTCGTCACTGTCATCATCATTCGTTATTGCTCCAGAGCATTATTGTGCCTGTTCCCCGAGCTGGGCCGGCAGGACCGGGATGACGAGCAATCTCCCAGCTCGCGGGACCGGCCGGGGAAGACAGTCGGGGCGGGACTCGGCGGGACCTCCGCAGCAGCAGCATCAGCAGCATCATCATGACCGTAGTCACCGTACGTATGGAATCTTCAGCGTACCTCAGCCTGATCGTCGCCATGGATTGGATTTCTTGGATTTCTTCATTCGAGGGCCTTTGCGTGGCCTGTTCCACACGTGACTTCCGGAACGGGGCAAGCGTTCGGCATTTCTGGATGGCCGAGGATGCTGAGCCTGCATGATAGGTATCTGCATCATTCCTGCTGGTGGCATAATTAATGGCATTTGGGCTGATTCATTCCATTCTCCGGCAGCCGTCCCGCATTCCAGCCGTCGTCGAACAGGGTTCAGGCCCGTTGCGCCGGCAGAGAGGGCAGACGGCAGACGGCAGACGGGCCAGCGGCGCCTTGCGTAGACTTGGAGCTAGTCTATGAGCCTGTCTATCGGGAGTCCGGCCGGCCGATCCACCATTCCATTTCCACCAGCGCGAGGGCGAGCCCAGTCCCAGTCCCATCGTCATGGGCAGATGGATCATGGAGCACCGGCCAGCTGCGGAGCGACCTGGCGACTGGCGTCCCCCCGGTCAGTGGTCGTCGCGGCCTCCACTCTCACTCTGACGACAGGGTTCGCAGGCTCAGCCTGTCTGTCTGCTGGCACTGGCAGCTGGCCAAAGTTTGCGCCGGAGAGAGCTGGCCGGACAGAAAATCCATGCCACTGCACACGCATCGAGTCGTGGGTTTCCAGATGGAGAGCAAGGCACACACGCAGATAGGCCAGTAGGCTGTAGCAGATCGTAGTTCATCCTCTGCCCCGATGGTATGACCGTATCGTAAGTAGACTCAAATCAAATCAAAATAATCAAATAAAATCGCCTGGTGGTCCGTCCAACCCGACCAGCCCCGGCTGGCTGGCTGGCTGGGCTGAGCAAGACAGCTGCTGGAGCTCCATCTCCTTCGCCGCTCTTCTGTGTGCTCGCGAAGTTTCCAGGGTCGAGCAGTGAGCTTCTGGTCTGTCGATCGATCTGCTGTTCTTTTTGTCTGCTTCTCCCCACTGCTGCTGTCTCGAGGCTGTTGTGTCTGGACTGCTTGTGCTGCTGGATCTCTTGTCTGTCTAGCTAGGCTTAGCGCTCAGTCGCCCGCCGAGCCACCCACGGCCGGCCTCGCTCGCCTTCCTCGCTCTCTGCCTCCTCTCGCCTCGACGCCAACCCTCCATCCATCATCAATCAGATCCCTCTATCTGTCCTGCTTCTCCCTCCGCCCATCGCTCCCCGTCACCCTGGCTCTTCCTTCTCTTCTCTTCTCTTCCTCCTTCCCTTTCGCTTCCTCTTCCCCTTCTTTCCTGCCCGTTCTTTTCTCTTCTTGCGTTTCTCTTTCCGTGCCTCCGCTTCCGCCTTTATCCTCCTCGCCCTCGCCCTCGTCGTCTCCCCTCGACTGGCCCGTAGTCAAGGGGGTCGCAAGAAGCACCCATCCGCGCTGGCAGCATGCACAAGATCTCCAACTTCACGGGCCAGGCTCGCCATGGGTGGGAGCGCATGACGCCCGCCTTTGGGATGTCGCGCCCGCACGCCGACATTCCCGCCTCGCAGTCCCTGCGACGTCCGCACGGCGCTCCTCCGCCGCTGACCCCTCCGGCCCCCGTTGATCCCACCGTCAACCTGTCCTTCAATGTGCCCTTCTCCTCCAATCTCGCTGGCCCCGATGTCGACGAGGTGCTGCACGCCAGCCCCGGCGCCCTCCAGCGCTGGACCTTCCCCGAGGGCACCCCCGAGGGCACCCCCATCCACCAGCTGCCCGTCCACGTCAACAACGTCGAGGCGCTCCGGAGGTTGTGTCGACATGTAACCGAGACCAGTGGAGGCCGACTCGAGGCCACCGTGACGACATCAGAGCCCAAGATCGTGCCTACGTTGCAACAACGCCCGCAGGGTCTCGTCACCAACGTCTGTGTCTCCGGCGACGGCGAGTTGGTGCGCAAGCTGCGGGCCAGGATTCTCAATGAGACTCCCATCTCCTTGGTGCGTCGTGCTCCCCTTTTCTGTTAATCCCGTCTGGTGTGAATGTGTCGCTGATCTCTGTGTTCCCCCCTTGCAGCGCTGTGCGACCGTCGATGTGGACCAGCACCTGATCATGGATGCTTCAACGAAAGGCATCCGCACCAGTGTTCTCGAGCACCTTGATACCCTGGCTGCCTATACGGGAGCCGATATCTTCCTCCTCACCCCCAAGATGCTGGACGCCGACAGCGCCGTCGTCTCGTCATATGGCTACGAGAATGGCTTGGACAATCGCTTTCGCGTGGCCATCTACGGCGACATGGAGAGTGCTGAGCATGCAAAGACGAGGTTGCTGATCATGATTGATCAAATTGTACGCTGCCTCTCTCCCTGCAGCTGTCTACTAACCGTGGCTGACCGCCATCGCGTAGCTGAAACGTCATGTCGATGCCATGAAACTGGAATTGACCATGCACACCCTCGTCTGTGGCCGGACGCGCAAGAATATCAAGATGATCGAAGCCGCCACGAATACGGCCATCTACTTCCCGCCGCCGTTCCCCCGGATTTTCGGCTACACACCGCCGGGGGCCAATCGTCGGAGTGAGGATGAGGTCTACATCACCGGAGAAAGCTTGGAGAATATCGCTCGCGCCAAGCAGAAGCTGCGGGAACTGGTCATGGGTGTGAAGATCTATGTCAAGGACGTCGTGCTCTCCGCGAACAAGATCGACAACATTCTCCTCGACCGTCTGGATAAGGTCCGCAAGGTGATGGAGGCCAATGGCTCCTACGTGCTGTTCCCCCAGCTGGGAAGCCAGCGCGGTCTGGTTCGAGTTCAGGGAACCGAGGTCCTCCACGTGGAGCGGACCGTGCGGGAGATCATGGCCCTGGTATGCTCCAACACTGGTATAGCTTGCAATGCACCGAATGCTAACTCTTGCAGGCGGGCCAATTCTACAGCGCATCGTGGTGGCTCGTCATGCCGGATCCCTCCCAGGGTGGCATGCGTCCGCCTACTCCGGTGGATGTTCGGACCATGCTTGCCGATATTTGCACCAACTCCGGGGCGGAGGTCAGTTTTGAGAACCTCACCTTCTCGATCAACGGATCGGACGATGCGGTCAAGGCGGCCATGATGGTCATCAACCAGATTCCTTTTGTCAATCGAAGCCCGTATCAGATTCGTGTCAAGATCGAGCTGGCCAATGAGCACAAGGAATTTGTCAGCGGCAAGAAGAATGGCAAGATCAACAAGATCATGGGGCAGAGTACGTCGTTCCCCCTGGTTGACCGTCTGTTCCGTGGACTGACAATTTTTTTTTCGCTGCAGGCAACGTGCAAATCATCTTCGACGGCTTCAATGAGTATAACTTCTATATCGATGTCTGTGGCACCCAATACGAGGCGACCAGGAATGGGCTGGATTTGGTCGAGCAGGAGATGCCTGCATCCATCTCCTTCCACGTCCCGGATCAGTACCACAAACGGATCATTGGCATTGGCGGTCAACACATCCAGCGGATTATGAAGAAATACTCCGTCTTCGTCAAGTTCTCCAACGCCATGGATCGGGGTGGTCTTGGAAAGGAAGATGATGACGTCAAGGTGGACAATGTCATCTGCCGCACTCCCGCTCGGAACGCGCAGTCTCTGGATCTCGTCAAGCAGGAGATCATGGATATGGTTGAGAAAGTGGTATGTCACGGATTTTGATGTCGTCGTTTCCGACAACACGCATTAACTCGGAGAGCAGGACGCGGAATACGTCTCGGAAACCGTCCTCGTCAACCGCTTGTACCACCGTGAGCTCCTGACCCGGATGCGCGAAATTGAAGAGCTCGAGAAGAAATGGAACTGCAAGATCGAGTTCCCGAGCACGGAGCTTGCCAGCGATGCGATCACCATCTCCGGTCCTGAATATCAAGTTCCCCAGGCCGTCGATGCCTTCCTGGTAAGATCTATCTCTACCTTTTTTTTTTTGGTGAACGTGGCTGACTGGTCATCCAAGGGAATGGTGCCTGAAAGTCACGAGCTCTCCTTCCAGAGCTCTGCGCAGCTCCGGGAGTTCTTCAAGTCTCCCGAATTCCTTGTCGACGTTCGCGGGAAACTCAAGGAGCAGTATGAAGTCGACGCTACCGTCGATACCTCCGCCGATCTCCCCAAATCTGGCGATGAGCCCGTGTCTGCCACGGTCCCGCCGCCTGAGGACCGAGTTGTGCTCGGCTACACTCGAAACAACGCCGGCGGGCTGAAGGATGCGATTGATTTCTTGATCTCTCGTCTGGTCGCGCATGGACTGGACGCGACCACCGTCAAGGGTGCTATCCCCCGTCCGAAATCCGACTCTTTCGAGGAGTCGTTGCCGTTCTTCGATTCTAAGCTCTTGCAGCACGCGCCTGCGCCCATCGTCACGGATTCGCCGACTCGGCCCAATTTCTCGGACGATGTCAGTGAACGAGGGTCTATCTTCGAACGACTCCGGAAGCCAGGCAGTATTTCATCGTTTTCGTCGTTCATCGGCCGCAAAAACCAGTCTGCCTCGCCGGGGTCGTCGTTCTTTAAGCACGCGTCCAGCAACGCGTCGAAGGCGTCGCTCGTCTCCATGGAGTCGCGCGATAGCGGCTATCGCAATCCGTGGAACGACTCGGGCGTCAACCTTCCTGAAGAAGATCACCATGCTGTCGGGAGTTCCCACAGCCACAGCAGCGGCAGCAACGGCTGGCCAGCTCGCTTTGATACCAAGTTCCCTTTCGGCACGGCGCCTGGTGACATGACTCCCAAGCATGACCCGCGCGCCTCGTTTGATAGCGGTCGTCCTAGCACTTCTAACTCTACTTCTGGATACCCGGCCCCGATTGGGCCACCTCGTTGAATTGAAGGAAAAGAGATACCAATTTGCAGCAATATACCCCACAACGCTTCTTGTGTTTTCAGTCGGTGTTTTTTCAGTCGGTTTTTTATTGTTTGTTTTTCTGTTTCATTTTTGAGAAATTTCCATTTTGATACCACGGGAAAGCAAAATGTTTTTAAGGGAATGGTATACAGGGAGAAGAACGTCGGAGAGAAAGAGAGGGAGGTGAATCCATGACAGTGATTTACTCCACTCAGAGAAAACACAACAAAATCGCAAGAAAAACGAACCCGACGACTCGACTCGGCGTTTTGTTATATCGGACTCTTTGTTATGTGAGATGCTATCTGTTCCGTCATGTTATATTGCTACGAATGGTACGCCAAGTCTCCGCGGATTAGCTTGGGGGTTTGGGGGAAAGAGGGATCGGTCGTATTGATTGATTTGATTTGATTTGATTTTTTGTTTTTTTTTTTTTCTTTTTCTAATTTGTGCGAGCAAGCAAAGGAATGATACCAAGGAAATGTTGAGGAATATCGATATCCCGGGACTGTTCGGGTTGTGCGTGCGTTTTTCCGTTGTGTTTGGGCGTTCAAGAGTCAAGACTGGTGTGTTTGTTTGTGTTTGTTTGTTTGTTGTTTGCTTTGCTTTGCTTTTTTTTTTCAAAAGTGTCGATCGATATCCCAAGACCGCACCAGATGCAAGTGATGCAAGTGAATGAGGTGTGGAAAGAAAAGAAAAGAAAAGACAAGCGAGAGAGAAAAACAATCTCAAAAGCTGAATAACAACAACCCATTCAACTTGAACATTCAACTTGAGCATTCAACTTGAGTGACTTGACTGCTTCCTGGGACTTATTGGATTCTTTTTTTTTCTTTCTACCTTTTTCTTTCTTCAATATGACGAAACTGAAAGCTCATGACCTACCTACCTATCTACCTACCTACCTACCTGCTGGATTCAGCCAGGAGAGCAGAATCAGAGGCAGATACGACCAAGAAAAACAAAAACGACAATGACAAAAAGAGAAAGAGAGAGAGAAGTTAGACCAGAAGCCACATGATAGAGGAGAAAAAAATACAAAGCTTGGCTGGGTGTGGTCACGAGAGAATTTTTATTCTATATTTATTATATTCTATTCTGTTCTATTTTATTTTATTTTTATTTCACTTCTATTTGATTATTATTTTATTATTCTGGTATTCCACTCTTCTCCACTCCGCTTCGCGCTCTGCGTGTAGTTGTGTAGTACGTGTAGCAAGTAAACAAGTAATACGTAAGGCCTGAGTCTGTCTGAGTCTGAATAAGTCTGTGCCTGAGTGAGTGAGTGGGTGAGTGAGTGAGTGAGTTGCTACCCACGTAGTCTTTCTCTCTCACCTGTTCTATCTATCTGTGTCGAGCACGTCCGTAGAAGGTATTTATTTAAACTTATTTTTTTGTCTGTTTTCTTTTTTGTCTATATGTACTATTATTTATTATATTTATATTTTTTTGTTTTTGTTTTTGGGTAGTCGAGTCGAGTCGAGTCGAGTTTGAGCATGTAGTACTCCGTACCTAGTACGCAGTTCGCATACCATTGATACCAACTAATATTACCGTCTAGGTGTCCCGCTTAATTAATTAAGTATAACTGACATGTGTCTATCTATCTTATCTTATTATTATTATATCTTGGGTACCTCGGTAGGTGTCTACGGAGTATGTACATACATACATACATACATACATACATAGCAGGTAGGTAGGTAGTTACTGCTCAGTAAAAGGAAGGGGGGGGGGAATTTTTTTCCCCCATGTTTAGTTAGTTAGATGTATGTACTCTGCATATACCTACCTACCTACTTGCTTACTTAACTTACTTAACTTTCTTTTTACTTTATTTACTTTAGATATACGGAGTAAAAAATATATGGATAAAAATACCTCCTCTTATGGTCCTACGAGATGGTATGTACAGTAAGTATGTACATACTTCTCTGTCTGCTGCTTTGCCGGGCCAGACGCCAGACAGACAGACAGACAGAAGGCCCTGCTGGCGCTAGCTAGCTAAGATCTCATTCATTCATTCATTCTACCTATCTGTCTGCTTTCATTTTTTAAGAAAAAAAAATGAAATACTGTTTATTTTGTTCCCTGTATTACTTACTGCACATTTGATATTAGAATACGATTAGAGGTAGCGTTGGTACTATACATCCAAACAACTACCTATCCACCTAACTACCAACCTAACTACAGTTTGGGGATGATTTTATCATACATACTTAACTTTAACTTCGACAGAAGTCTTATTATTATTTATCGGAATGAATCGATTGATGATGACCAGGTACCTACCTAATTGAGACAGACTTACTAAAATAAAATAAATAATTCCTCAGAAACTATTTGTGTATAGGGGCTTTTCTTTTTTTTCTCGCAATGTAAATGAGTAAATAAATCGCCATTTCTCTGCTGATTGACTGATTTGATGATTTACTGACCTGGTCGCCGACATGACACAATCAATAGTAATAAATAATAGACTAATTTATTACCTAATTCCGCTATAGAGAATACAGGAAAGAATATACTCTTTTATTTTTTTTCAAGCGCAGAAAAGAAATTTCCCAAACAAAACACTCACATAGTACTGTACCATCCATCCATCCATCTTCCTGGAGAGAAACATCAATAGCAAGGCTGCAAGATTAGAAAAAGGTGCATACACAGATTAGCTGGGACAGTGAAAAACCGGAAGTATAGCACAAGTGGATTAGTATGTTGACATGCCGTACCCTGCTTTAATCACGCTCCCGCGATTACAGAAAATATGTAAGTTTCTGGAGACTTCAGCACCACCAGAATCATGCAATATTGACACAGCCGACATTACAAACATATGTCTAGAATGGAAAAAAGACGAAACACTTCACAACTGGCCCGACAGAATCGCTTCGGTGGCTGCAACCCCAAGTCAGTACAGTCTTCAAAAATACTGCTTACAGAATTAAACGGAAACCCACCTGAATTGATGTATGCTCTCTTCGCGTCCAGATTGACTCCAAATCTCCTCTCCAGCTCCGCCTTGACGGCCTTCTTGGTTATTGTCATCAGATCTGCCGTTCGAAGTATGTCGCGAATCTCCGCCAGAATCGCATCGTCGCTCGGCAGACCCGCCATGTCGCTCATCTCCATATCCATCGGACGACCAGTCATCTCCGACGGAGCCAGCGACATACGAGACCCGAAGCGAGGCAAGTCGAGCTGGGAAGCCGGACGAGTCGCTGGGAATCCGTACTCCGATCCCCCTGGGTGGTAGGATTTGGTTGCGTAGGAATATCCAGAGGCCTCCGAACGGTCGTCTCGCTGCGTCTGAGCCTCCCAAAGCTCCGCCTGGTACTCCTCCCACTTCTTCTTCGGGATGGACGACGGGTCAAACTTGCCTTCATCAGAGATGATCACCTTGCGTCCCTTCTCACCGGTGACGATACGAGTGTTACCCCATGTAAAGTCGTCCATATGCCAGAATGCATGAAGAGGGAGAGCCAGCGAGAAGATAGGCATGGCAAGGAGGTAGATGATCATCCACCCAATCATCTCCCACTTGCGACGAAGGACGAAGATGATGGCCTGGAGACCGTAGATCGCCCCAAGAAGAACGAAGGCGGTGAAAGGAATAACAGAGGTATCGATGACGAGCCATGCAATAAGATAGGCAATATACGCGACTGTCACGGGTTGAATAATCGTGCTCATGAGATCGATGAAAACGATGAACCGCATGCTGAAGCAGCAGAAACCACAGAGCTGTTGCAGTGGAATCAGTTCAATCAGGTTGTGAACCGTCGAGTTGATCCATCGCCGACGTTGTGACAAGAAGACGGCCCAGCTCTCCGGTGCGATTGTCCACGCATGAGCCCGGAACAGGTACTTGGTCTTGAAAGATGGGTGGTGCTTCAGTAAGAGTGTCGTCAGATACCGATCTTCACCCAGGTGAAGGAGGTTCTTCATGTGCAGCGTGTCCACACGGATCTCCGCATACGCGTCGACGACCTCCTTGCTTACGAACAGCGGTTTCCCGGTCTCGACTGAGCGGATTCGGTACATACTGAAGCATCCAGGCAAACACGTCACCGAGCCGAAGAGACTTTCGAACGCCTTTGTCAGGTTGTGAGAGATGTAGTATTCGTAGACTTGGATCATCGTTATTATAGATGACTTGGCGTTACTCAAGGCAGTCTCTCCACAGACGCCAATGATGCGCGTATCATCGACCATTGCAGACACCATGCGGGTCGCAGCATCCGGGGCAACAACCGTATCGGCATCCACCTGCAGAATGAACTCGTAGAATGTCGGGTTGACACCGATGATGTTCCGGATCTGGTGATGCATCTCAAGCTCCATGGGGCTCATGGGCAGGTTGTAATGGATGCGGTTGAGGAAACGCATCAAGATCATCTGTGAGTCTCGCTTACCCCGATTTCCGGGACGAGAAACCTCAGACGGCTTTCCAACCTTGACCACGACCAGGAAGGGAACGATGTGACCTTGCACCTCATAGAGACCCGAGTAGACTTTGCCCATGTTGTGCTGCCTCATACCCTCGCCGAGACTCTCGAAGCTTAAGGGCTCCGGGTCAACAGTCTCAGGAACGCCCAAGATGTCCAAGACAATCCTGGGTGTAGGGCGGTCGTTGCCCTGACCGATGATCATACCATCGCAAATGACAACAAGGAGCTTGCGTTTATCATCATATTTCATTCGAGCCATGGAGTCAATGGCCCGGCGAAGGGACTCTTCATCTTCCGTGTACGCCGGGACCTGGCAGATGATGAACTTGTCCAGATTCTCAGGAAGATTCTTCCTACCAAATTGCAAGGCAGCCAAGAACTTGAACGTAATGACCAGGCACAGCATGACCGAGATCGCAAGAATGAAGTATCGTGCAAACTGGCATTGGGCGGAGTCTCGTGTGTCAACTTTGCCAACGAAGAACAAATTATTCATGCAAAGCTCCATTCGCTGTCGCAGTCCTGGGTCAAGTTTCAGATTGTTCCAGTATTTTGTCACATCTTGACCAGACTTCTGGGCGAAGAGTTCCACGACGTTGGGATCCATGAAGTCAGTGTTCACACCCGGTGGCACTTTCTTCCCGATTGGGGCGACAGTCCTCCGTCCGCCGGCGATGTAGCTTGTAAAGTCATATACGTTGCCATTGATGCTTGCAATGGACATCTGTTTATTCGCCAGCGTGGTCAGATATTGGGGACTGTAGGCCATGTACCCCTTGAAGTAAGAGGCCCTCAACATTTGCATCTGCTCAGCGAACCAATCCGGCCGGGAATCATTTGTGAAGTACCGGAAGTCGTGATATACCGAGTTGGCCGCTGTGCTGCTGAGGACAGTGGCGGACCCCGAGACGTTGGTTGGCGAATAGTCAAACTGCACCGTTGGGTCCACCTCGCCCGTGGTGCCTTGACAGAGCGCTGACACTTGCACTGGGAAGAGGCCAGTGATATCGGTCCCTGCATACTGCTCCAGCTGCTTCTCGGGGATGAGCCCCTTGGGATAATGTTGAGGTATAAAAGATCCCAGATCGAAGACAACGCCCCGAATCGCCACGTACGAAGGATGACCATTTTTACCATTGTTCGACGCTAATTCCGCCGCCGAATAAACGTATTGTCTGGGGCAGATCAAGCCGGGAAAGGCGACAACAAAGAAGATTGCGATCCCACAGCTGAGCCAGATGATCATATTGATAGCAAGTTTCTCGCGCCAGGCCACCCGCATGTCTTTTCTGTTCATCCTTCCAAAGAACTTGATGGCGAAGTCCGGAAGCCAGAAGGTTAGCATGTAAACAATGGCCAACCACCGTTTGCGGCTGCCTGAGACAGGAACGCTGTCGACTTCTTCCATTTGTCGCTCATTACCCTTTTCAGCCATCTGCTCTCTGGTCTCGAGGTTTTTGAACATGTCACCAGAGTTGAAGGCAGAGGCACCGGCATCAGAGCGGCCATCGATATCACGACTGCCGAAGTAGGCCTGCTTTGTTTCGTCCCCGTAGATGTAGGCACCAGTGGGGGAGTTGTCGACCGAGTTGAGCAGCCGGACCTTAGAGTCCGAGTAAGCGCCGTGTGGCTGAAGCAACCCGTCTCCCCCTTCGTCCATTGTATCTGATGTGTAGACAGGCAGCACACGCTCTCCAAGTTTAGCAAGATCAGCCCAGCATCTTTCACTGAGGAAGACACCGGTGCTGCCGACTCGGGCCTCGTTGCTGGGCCACTTCTTCTCATCCAAGACCAGCTCTGCTTTCTCTCGGTCGCTCCCGACGACGATGTTCTCGGCTTCCGCAAGGCCCAGGAATTCGGCGAAAGGAAGGAACACACTGAAGTCTGCATTGCGCAGTCGTTGACTGATTTCCGCAATGCCAAACGTCTGGACCTGCATTCGAACGCATTTGCTGTCGAACTGATTGGCGATACGCCGGTCATTCGGTTTCAGGCAAATGACAAAGTACGGATTGAGATTGGTCGAAGTCAGGCATTTGTTAATAATATCCAGCGACGAGAGGAATTGACCGGCTGCGCCTTGTTCTGGACCCAGGAGGTTGGTACTCTTCCGCCTTCCAGAAGCACCTTGCTTGACGCTGTCTCCTTGGCTGTCGAAATCTTCCACCTCTTCATTATCGGAGCGGGCGCCGTTCGAAGCGAACCTGGAAGGAGGGCCGATCTTGCGTCTGGCCATGCTCGGCATGCGTTGTGGTTTGGAGCTCACTTGAGCCTGCATGATGGCAGTCTTCTCTTTGGGATGTGTAACTTTCTGCAGTGCCTTCTGCCCGAAGAGCTCACGTACGAAATCACTTCTCGTCGAGTTGATCAGGTTCATGAGATCTCCCGAAATCGTCTCTCCATTCTCTTCAATGAGACCGTTAACCGGATATTCCACCTCTCCGGCAAAATGTTTCACGGTGAAACTGGCCCTGGCACTGGGGCTAGAGAAATTGCTCCCTGGCATCACCGTCTTGGTGTCCCCCACGACAATCGCAGGGTTCTTGTTCTCGAATCTCTTCTTCAAGCTCTCGAGAAACTGGTGATCTGATCTTCCTCGTCTGGTCTGGTCATCCAGGATCGCCAAAAGTCCATTGCTCTGCTTGAGAAGACCACGAACGGCGTCCGAGTTATCGAAGTAACTTGTCGCAGGCACGCTGACTTCCTCGCTCTCCAACAAATCGGCCTTGCTGGTGAAAAAGCTTTGCAAACAGTAGTTATACAGCGATTCCGTAGCAGCATTGTTGAGGAGCTGGTCCAGCGTTGACCCAGTAGGAGAGGTCTGTGCGAAGCCGGGGAAATCAATGATGGAGATTGTATTCGCAATGCTATCCTCCGCGGCACAGATTCTCTGGTTGATACTTTCAATCACGTATGCCACCAAGAGGGAGTACAACGTCCGCGCAAGTTCATCGGCGTTCTGACGAGCTCCCTTAGGATCAAGCATGACCGTCACACGCTCACGGTGAATTGTCTTGCTCTTGTACCGGAGACTAACTTCGAGCTCTTCGGTACTTAGTCCCAAGAATGCAGCCACAATCGCCAAAACATCCTTGTTCTTCACCATTGTCACGGTCTCGCCTCCTTCATGAGAGTAACCACCACTCTCTTGTCCCGTCGTTGTCGTGGCCTGGCCTGTAACGAAGTCGAGCTGGCCAATGTGCAAGATGCTCGCCAGAATCTGGCAAATCTCTGCTATCTCGCTCCGAGGGAACTCCAGCTTCCTCAACGCCGTCTTGAAGTGCTGGAAACCCTCTGCATCGTTGATACCCACTTTCATCTGAGTTGGGTGGCCCAGGTACCGCCATCGCTTATGACTCGAGGAAGCGCCGCCAGTGTTGGACTCGAAGCCCAGGTGAGCCTTTTCAGCTGCACTGGTGCCCGCAAGAAGGTAGTACAAAACATGAAAACTCCGTTCGCCCGTTGGCACTGACGTTATTCGACTCCTTTCCAAGCGGTGATCAAGGATTTTGCCTCCGATCAAGGTCGGGTTGACCGATGAGGAAGCATCATACTGCAGTTCGAAGAATAGACCGGCCTTTGACGCAGTAGGCGTCGTGACGGACTTGGTCGTCGTCAGTGTGTCGAACACAAAAGCTGCATATGACAGTTTCGTTGACAGAGGCGTCGAGGAAAACGAGAGGAACGATGATAGCAGGTGCGACCGTATTGTCGTCTTTCCTGAACCGCTTTCTCCTCTATGGTGCAAAATATCAGTCAATCATGAACAGGACAGCCTTAAGGAAACCGCGCTTTGAGCGCCCACTTACAGAAACACTATGGCCTGGTTTTCCCCCCTGGCACCCAGACGAGTGAAGGCGCGTTTGGCCAAGTCCTCCGCCTCGGCCATGGCGCTGCCCTCCTTCCCACCATCTGGGCCCTTGGTGGACGTCGTGTAGGTGTTGATGCATATTAAAGCCTGCGAGGAGAGACGAGCGGTCGGCAGGGACACATGGAATCTGTAGCGAAGAGGAACGTTAGAGATGTCTCGCTAAGAAAGGAAGACAAGGTGAACAACGTACCTGCTAGCCAGATGAGCCGTCAAATGCGTATCTGACTGGAGATGTGAGGGTAGCGACGGCAGCGACGACTGCGCATGGGAAGGCGTGCTTCCCGACATAGAGTGGAGAGCCATGTTGGCGGCGTCTCTCAACGTTGACACGGAGGCCAACGATTCTTTATCGCAGTTGTTTGCTCAACACAAGGTCCTCCGATAATCGACGTCCCAGGTCGGCTTCAATGTTCCCTTGGAGTGGTTTGGGCGAGCAGATAATTTGTGACAAAGCAATCGAGGTTCGACTTCTGGGTACAACGAGTGTGGTTGCCAGTACCGGGCAGAGTCTGGTGTACAGTTCCGGTGTCGTCGAGGCTGTCTAGAAGCCGCCCGATGATGGCAAAAGCATGGTCTGAGATGGGCGAGCGAGTGACAGGAGAAACGAATCGGCCTGTTGAGAAAGACACACAGCACCGAACGAGCGTGACGGGAGAGCCCCGTCGTCAGGAAACGAGAGTGATAGATAGGATGGCGTGACAACAGGGGAGGAGAGGAGGACGCGAGTTGAGGCGTAAAGGATTTGGGGAATGTAGAGAGCGTATCTCGGGTGAAAGTTCGGAATGCAGGGTGGATTGTTGTCGACGTCGAGGCAAGATCTGGCTGTGATCACGATCAACGACAAACACAGCTGGGAGCCTGGGGACGCAGAACGTTACGGTATCGGAACGGCGTCAGGTATTGTAAACTCCTGAAAATAAATTACGCTAACGCTGCCCCGGCGCCCTTCTTCCGCGAGGCTTGTGTGGGTTATTCTTAGGAATTGTTCGACCCATTTGTCCACCTGAGGTGTCTCATCCCGGCTCCATGGAGTCTAGCGTCTGCCCTGATGGATCCATGGATGGCCCAAGGACATGCTGGTGGATGCCGGGCAGAGGGCTGCGTAGCGCAGACTGATTGGCGGCGAGCTCTGCAGTGTGCGGTCGTCCGCTGCTGGCTGTGAGACCCGTCCAATGCCTGCGCACACCATCCAGAACATCTGACTGAGACAAAAGAGGTTAAAAAAAGAATAATCGATTGTCTTGATAGACCTCTACTGTCTACATAACTTCTGTACTGCATCACAAGGTAGACAAGGTAGAGCAAGTGGCGATGCGTAGGCGCAGGCTTGGGGGATATTCCGGATTATAAATATCAAATCAGGGGTATCGCGAGAATCCTACGGGCCCCTCTCACTGGCCATTATCCAGCATTACGATTTCTATCACAAGGCAAAGCAATTAGAAAAGGAAATGGACTGCTTAGTTAGGTATTTCCAGAGCCATTAACGCTGTACAGAGCGCAGAGTGCAGACTACCGAAGATCGCCATATCTCATATCCATACTCAGTACGGAGCATTCTTAGTAATCGCATATCATGCTTCTGTGGTTGGCACAGTGGCCTCCGATGATGCAAAGCAGCCTGCTCGTCTGTGGAGGTGGAGTAACTGTCCAGGTAAAAGAGGCGAAATGCAATGATGACGGCTGCTATTATCTGTCAGACAAGGGCCATTGTGGAGCCCATCCGGCACCGAAAAGAGGGGTGATGAAAGAGCTTAGAACGCCTATCTCCAGCCTGCTGATGACTCCATTTGTGCTCTGTACAGAAACCAGATACGAAACAGTCCCGAGAGCTGCTGGGCTTTTCCCAAGACGTGATTCAGGCCGGCTTGAACAGGTTGCTGGGCATGGGACAAGAGAACGAACTAGACCCGGCAAGGCTACCAGGTCACTGCAGTCTGCAGGTGGTCTCGCACTCCCTAGAAGCATCGAGATTCACGGCGGTGGAGAGGGGACAGGCATGGTCCAGCCATGGGTTGAGAGTTAATCGACGGCGCTATCTGGTCTGGGATTAGCGGCTGGCCCTAAATATAGCACTAGAGGTAAAGTGGTCGTCTTCCTATTACACGTAACGCCGTCCGTACCGGGTCAATGTGAAGCCTCATCCATGGATAGATTCCCCCGGAATGCCTGGTCCCGCTCTTGCCACAGCGCCAATGATGGCCCGGCAAACACTGCTGTAAGTTATCCTTTGCTACTATTTGCAAATAGTAGCGAGTTCGGTGCTTAATAGCAGTGTGTTCGAACGCGCATCGTAGAAGACAAGCCCTCGCAACGAGATGCCTAGGGAGATGGCATTGCCTGGTGTCCGTATGAGCCCGGAGAGGGGGTGGCCCGATTGAGGCTGTTGCATCGCTTCTCGAGGTTGCATCATTCGTGTTCCAGATTTATTTGACACCGGGGCGCTAAGAGGCGATCAGTGGCTGATTGTCTGGCTGGACTCATGCCGGCTGCAGGCGAGCTGTCCATTGATCCCCGGCGCAGACTGCTGCTGTCCTGCCAAACTCCGAAGGTGCGCCGCCTGCCTGATTTTTTATCCGTACGGAGTAACCGCCAGGCCTGTCTCGCGGAGTAATCTTACCGGCTCTCAATACCGCGTAACGGTAATACCCGACCCCATGCCCAGGTACCGCCCTCCGTACGGGGTTCAGCCAAAACAAGCCCTTCCATTCTCTTCTTTCTCCTCCTCCACGCTGAGGTTGCTCCCTTCTCTTGCAGTCCGTCGCCTAAGACCTCTCTTCCAGCCGGTGACTCGTTTTTGTTTCGCAGAATTGCCGGCCACGTTCGTTTCAGGGCGAGTTTCGCCTGTCGTTCGCTTCTAGAGTCCCGGATTCCTCTGCGTTGTCGTGACGACCCGTCCGTCTCGCCTCTCATTCCACGCTCTGAATCATCCTTCTTCGGAGGTCATTAACGCGACACCACGGTCCCTGTTCATTTCTAGCTCTGGGTGACAAACAGGAACTGTGCAGCCGTCCGTCGACCACCGCCCCCTTCTCGTCCAGATATCTCAGACTGTTCGCAGCCAGACAGCCGATGTTCTCATAGAGACCCGTCAACAACCTCTCGCAATTCCCGTTCTGCGGGACTACAGCACTTCGCACCATGGCTGCAATGTCGAATCGCTTCTCTGTTTATTCGAGTGCTTCTGCTGTCCCGGCTTCCGGGGGCGCCAGTTCCCGTTCGGCGGCCCAGGTGTCGACAACGACTCTCCTCAATGCCCTCCACTCGTCCTATTCCTCGGGCCAGCCTTATCAGCTCGAGTCTGGAACAAGTCTGGTCGTGAATACATGGGTTACAGCTACCAACCAGGGCGCGAATGGCAATGGTGGAGGAACCGTTGACAGTGAGTTGGCTCGACGAGCATGGGAACATGCAAGAAGAAGAGCCGAAGACGGCTGCATTGTTTTATGGTTGGCATACTCACTCCTGACCCTGTTAGAGCTCGGTGATAGAGGTTGCTAACTCTGGTGACAGCTCTCTTCATCGTTCAACACCGTCACTCCTCACTCCTTTCCTCTCCGTCATACCTCTGTCGACTCCTGAAATAGTCTATACGGCTCTCACCGCCATTCGTCCCTTTGTGTCGGCGGTAACGCCATTCAACCCTTCGTATTCTCTCTACTCATCTCTTGCCGTCTCCTACACATTTACTCTGGGCGGTACCGTAACTGGCCTTACCATTTCGTTGTCGACTTCGGGTATCAACGTCAGCAGAGGCCTGCTGGATATTCCCGCTGAAGCCGGCTTCCGTGCCTTTGACGTCCTCTACTACTTGCTCAACTCTTCCTCTAGTCAAGCGGAGAGAGAGTATCTCAGCCTCAAGGATCCATCGGCATATGCACTGCTCAACAAATCGGGTACATATACGCCCCCGTCGTACTTGCCAACGGCCGACGACGCTGCTTCTGCCGAGGATTTCCGCTCCGCTCTCAAAGCAATTGGCATCAAAGGAGCGTCACACAGAGGGTTGATCTCGGTTCTAGCGGGCCTTCTGAAACTCGGGAATACGGTGGGCTTCCTAGTCGACCAAGAGGAACTGGAAGAGGTCTGTGAGGAAGCAGCTGAGCTTCTCGGCATCGATCCTGAGATTCTTCTCCACAAATGCACCACCGACGAGCGTCAGATTCTACTCTCGGGAATTTACGAAGCAGTGGTGGACTGGGTGATCCAAAAGGCCAACGAGGCAATAGCCAATGAACTTCGAAACGCCCAGGAGAATGGATCCAGCGACGGTGGTAATCATGGCCATTGGAATGGCGAGGATACTGGGGATACTGTGAGCCTAACGATCATTGATATTCCAAGCCCCCCTCTGGGTAAAGCCGTCGCCCTTCGGGGTGTTTTCGATGACACTCTGGGTATCAATGCGGAAATGAAAGAGGATGGACTTGAAATCGTGGCACCCGGTCATTCAGTCATTAATGAAATGAAGAGTGCGGTAGCTGAGGTGGAAGCTGATTTGGGTATCTCCGGTGGAGCTGCCGCCCGTGAACGGGAGCACGCCAATGACAGGAGACAGGGTGTTTTGGAAAAGGTCGGGGTCGAGGTCGAGATGGGAGGTTTCCTCCGGGATGTCCTATTCCCTGACGAGAACGAGGGTATCACTGTAGGCAGGAGAGGCCGGTTTGATCTTGCTGCGACCCTTGGCAGCAGCAGGGTTTGGTATCACCTCGCTCTTCACCCCACTGATGATTCTCCCGAAAGCCTGGCCAATCTGCCATCCCCGACGTCCGCTTGGTCCGCTGGTGCCGTATCCCGTCAATTGCGGGACTGGAGGTTGCCAGAGTGGGCCAACCGTCGTCACAAGCACCTCGATTACACCGCCGACTTCGATGTGGATGAGTTCGTCACTCGATATGCTCGCCTCGGATGCAAGGAAGGCAAAGACGGGGTCGAGAATTGGATTCTTGAGCGAGGCTGGAGTAACGGTGACGTAGTAGTAGGCCATGAGAGGATATGGATGAGAGAAAACGCCTGGTGGGAAGCGGAGACGATGCTTGATATGAAGCCAGATGAGAATCCTTTCATGATGGGAGCTAATCCTTTTGAAAGTGGCTATTCCTCAGCTCCCCCCAATCCAAACGGATCTGGCTTCTTTCCCCAGGGCGGGGAATCCGCGAGCCTGCTCGGAAGCCGTGATAATCTGGTGAACAACGCTGCGGGAGGTGCTCGTTCGATCGCTCCGACTGTGCCTCGCTCTACTAGGGGTGACTACGGACTTGGTCCCAAGGGAGATGATCGAAAGGATGATGAGTACGATGGCGACATTGGTCGGTACACTGGCGAACTGGATGCCGAGTATGGCGATCCCAAACATATCGAGAAAAAGAATATCAGCACTGGCCGGCGTGTTTGGGTCGCTTTCGTCTGGGCAATGACCTGGTGGATCCCATCCTTCCTTCTGCGCTATGTTGGTCGAATGAAACGTCCTGATGTGCGGATGGCCTGGCGAGAGAAGGTGACTCTCATGTTCCTTATCCTTCTTTTCAACGCCATCGTCATCTTTTACATTGTCGAATTTGGCAATCTCCTTTGTCCCAACAAAGACAAGGTCTGGAACGCGAAAGAAGTCAGCTATCATACAGGTGACAATGACTTCTATGTCAGTATTCACGGCGTCGTCTACGATATCAGCACATTTTGGAGACTTCAGCATAGTGATACGGCTATTCAAACCTCAGCCTCGAACATGCAGCCCTTTGCGGGTCAGATTCTTGATGCCTACTTTCCTCCTCCCCTTACTCAGGCCTGCCCGCCTTTCGTGACGGACGAGTCTATTTCCCTGCAGAACAATAATACGGCCGCCATTCAGTACCCTGACGCGGTTCACACTTCCGGCCCCATTCTTCAGCCGAATCCAGATACGGCGTTGCACCAAATCACCTGGTATGACAAGGTATTTCGGCCAAAAATCAAACAATACTACAAGGGTTCTTTGGTATGGTCAAAGGAGACCATTCAACAGCAGGCAAACAACAACCAGAGATACTGGGTGATCCTCAATAATAAGGTATATGATTTGACCAATTATTTCTACACCCTGAAGCTGGAGAATAATCTCGCCACGTACAATTTTCTTCCGAGTGGTGTGACAAAGCTCTTCCAAGACTATCCGGGTGGTGACATCACAGACAAATGGCAAGACTCAGTCCAGTTTGAGAATGCACTCAACTGCCTCAACAACGCGTTTTATGTTGGCGAAGTCGATTTTAGAGACACTCCGAGGTGCACAGTAAACAACTGGATTTTGCTGTCTTTCACGATCCTTATCTGCTGTGTGATCCTTGTCAAGTTCCTGGCTGCGCTTCAACTCGGCTCGAAACGACGTCCTGCTCCACAAGACAAGTTTGTCATCTGCCAGGTTCCTGCCTATACCGAAGGCGAAGATCAGCTTCGCAAAGGCTTGGACTCCCTTACGGCCCTTCAGTACGACAACAAGCGGAAATTGATCTGTGTCATCTGCGATGGAATGATTGTCGGCAGTGGTAATGACCGTCCAACGCCAAAAATTGTCCTCGATATTCTGGGAGTGGACCCGAAAATTGATCCTCCGGCCTTGCCGTTCAAATCCGTTGGGCAAGGGAGCGACCAACTCAACTATGGCAAAGTGTATTCTGGCCTGTATGAATACGAGGGCAATGTGGTTCCATACATTGTTATCGTGAAGGTTGGCAAGGAGTCTGAGCAGACTAGATCGAAGCCTGGAAACCGCGGCAAACGCGACTCTCAGATCCTTCTCCTCAACTTCCTGAACCGGGTCCACCACCGCGCTCCGATGTCGCCGCTCGAATTGGAGATGTTTCACCAAATCAACAATGTGATCGGTGTCGACCCCGAATTGTATGAGTATCTGCTCATGGTGGACGCTGATACCAGCGTTAAGGAAGATTCCCTTAACCGTCTGGTTGCCGCTTGTGCAGCGGACGCCAAGATTGCAGGTATTTGTGGTGAAACGAGTCTCCAGAATGAAGAGCGGAGTTGGTGGACCATGATCCAGGTCTATGAGTACTACATCTCCCACCACTTGGCCAAGGCGTTCGAGTCTCTCTTCGGCAGTGTCACCTGTCTTCCGGGATGGTGAGTTACTTCAGATTGTTGACGATTTGAACTTGGACGATGTGGAATACTAACTTTGGGTCCGTATTAGTTTCTGCATGTATCGTCTTCGAACCGCAGATAAAGGCCGCCCTTTGATCATCTCGGATAAGGTTATTCAAGAATACGCTGATATCGACGTTGACACGCTGCACAAGAAGAACCTGTTGTCTCTCGGAGAAGACCGTTATCTCACCACTCTGATGACCAAGCACTTCCCAAATATGTCTTACAAGTTCCTTCCTGACGCCTACGCCAGCACTGCCGCCCCTGAAACATGGAGTGTTCTGCTCTCCCAGAGGCGTCGTTGGATCAACTCTACTGTGCATAACTTGGTGGAGCTGGCTGCACTGAAGGACTTGTGCGGTTTCTGTTGCTTCAGTATGCGGTTTGTCGTCTTGGTTGATCTCTTGGGAACGGTCATTCTCCCAGCGACTTGCGTATACTTGGGCTATCTGATCTACACCGTTGCGACCCACAAAGGCCAGTTCCCCCTGATCTCCATTGTCATCCTTGCTGGTGTCTACGGCTTGCAAGCGGTCATCTTTATTATCAAGCGGCAATGGCAGCACATCGGGTGGATGCTTATTTACATCTGCGCCTATCCAATTTACAGTTTTATCCTGCCGCTCTACTCCTTCTGGAAACAGGACGACTTTACCTGGGGTAACACCCGTATCGTCATTGGTGAGAAGGGAGACAAACGCGTGGTGGCGGTCGAGGACGAAGGCTTCGATCCGAGAAGCATCCCTCTCCAACGGTGGGATGATTATGCTCTGGCCAACAATCTCCCGGGCCGGCGCGGCAATGCAGATCTCGGCGAGGAGAAGTATTATCAGGCTCCATATACCGACGATGCAGCGATGGAAATGGATGACATGCATTCGATGTATTCTTCCGTCAAGCCGGCATCGACTATCCTGACCGGCTTCCCAGGTCAAGGCCGAGGTGCGGGTCCATATATGCCACCACAGTCGCCTGCTCCATTTGGCGGTAACGTGCCTGGCAACCGGAACTCGCAATTTACTAGCTTCACTAGATACACCGATCAGCCGCAACCTGGTGGACACAACCAACGCCACATGTCTATGGGAAACTTGAGCCACTATCAAGACAACCCAGCTAATACGAGCAGATTGAGTATGCCGATGATGCAAAGCTCCGAGAACCTGCTTGGAGGGGCTCGCCGGCAGAGCTCACGCAGTCCCTTGGGTGGTTATAACTCCAGGCCTGTGAGCACTGCGCTTGACTTCAGGGGAGGACCTGGGAATGGACCGGATGACAATACGATCATTGAGGCGATTCGTACCTGCCTGGCTGAAGTCGACCTCGACAACATCACGAAGAAGCAAGGTATGTAGTTTGCTCCAGTTGTCACGAGTACTGGCTGATACTGACATTTCTTCAGTGAGGGCTCTTGTGGAGCAACGGCTTCAGACTGCACTGGTTGGCGAGAGACGGGCATTCCTTGACCGACAAATCGACCAGGAACTCGCCAATATGTGATGAGTTGCAGTTGCCATTCGATTTCTCACCGTATTTGTCCTCACTTGATCACCTTCTTTCTGATTTATCTTATGTCTAATCTCGGTTCCTTCCCCCTGTCCATGCCCTCTACTTTCGAAAACTGTACTGTGGTGTGATGCAAAACGGCGCTCCTTACCCTTTATACTATCTACCTAATCATGGGGCTGCTGGCGCCTTACCAGCACATATGTACGCATCAGATAATTTTTGCTAATGGGTGTGGGTTACCTTTTCTTTCCTCATTTTTCATTTTTGAGCGGGATGAGGTGGTTGTTAATATGCATATTGTTTTCTCTTTTCCTTTTTTCCTCTCTAATTGCACATGTGTATGGGATTTTTCTCATTTTAGCGGGCAAGGAAAATGTGGTTGCTTGTGATAGTTGTGCTTTTATCTTTTCATATGCATGCATGCAGTACAGTTAGAATACATACATACGTATAATTGAGGATCAATTATTACTGTTCATAAACTTGCAGGTAATTAGGACGTACAATAAGAAATAATAGTAAAGAAGAGGGAGTATTCCAGAAGGAATGGCACACTGTGTGCTGTGCGGAGCGCAGGTACTACTGGGCCTTAGGAATAAATAGCCTTACTTACCCTTCTAGATAATATTTATCCACTTGCCTTCTGTTGAATAGAGTAGAATAGAAGGTGATTACAGAGTAATCCTCCCTTGCAGACTTACACAGAAGAATATCATGAACATGCAGCAAGTCAACTTCCTCACCACGTGACTGTAGGTAGTACGCCAGTTAGCTGGGTGAGGTGGGGTGACCATAATCCATGACCATCCATGATCAAATCATTCATTCGTTCGTTGGTTAATTAACTATCTCAATTCTTTCTCGATTCTAGCTAGAATTTCGAGTAGGGATAGATACTATTACTTCAAAAAAAAAAAGAAGAGCAAGAAGAAGAGACGAGACTGACAGAGAGGGGGGAAATCGATAAGAAATTACATGCATCAATTTCCCCGCACCATGCGATACAGATCGATCACGAGATATAGTTGTCTCTAGCTACATATAGCTGTGCTATTACCGCTTTATCTATCAACGTCGAGAGCATACGTACGTGTGTGTATCTATATATCGTGTACCACACAATCGAGATCGATGAGATTGACTAATAAATAACGATATCATCTGACGACAACAGAACCAAACAAACACCCAAACAACGAACAACAGCATAATCATCGACTGTTGCTTGTCGTTCTGCATACTTATTCTTGATAACTATCTACCTACCTACCTACCCATCTATCTATCTATTTATCCATATCATCGATCTACGAGACAATGTCCTCTTCCCAACAACCACAACAACCGCAACAACAACAACAACCCCCATCCCCCTCCCACTCGCAACGCACAGCCGAAGCCCGCGCGGCCTTCACAGCCTCCCTACACTCCGTCGGCGCCAACCTCGACGCCGAGCTCCGCGCGCGCGCCGCCAACCTGCACGAGAACGCGGCCGCGCTGGCAAAACAGGAGGCAGAGGTGCAGCGGGCGACGGCGGAGCTGGCGCGGCAGAACGACCAGTGGAGCAAGATCGCGGACCAGGCGCGCAAGGGGCTCAAGGAGATTGGCGACGTACAGAATTGGGCGGAGCTGATTGAGAGGGATTTGTTGGTTGTGGAGGAGACGTTGAGGTTGGTTGAGGAGAAAGATAACAACAAGGATAAGCGTGATGATGATGGTGATGATGGTGATAATGGTCACGGCAGTAATAGTGAAGGAGGAGAAGGAAGAGGGGAGGATGAACTAGCTAATGGAGCGAATGTTGTTGATGATGATGACTCGGGGAAGAAACAGCAACAGCAGCAACAGCAGCGGCGGTGGAGTTTGTGGAGTCGATGGTGGTAGGAGAGGGACAAAATCAAAATCATCTTCTGTTCTTGGTTGGGAGAGACTGTGTTGAGGGAAACTGGTATTAGGGGATGGTTGGGTATTTCCTGCTGGTCACATATTCATTTCTTCAACGACGATGACGACCACGACGATGTTAATGCTGATGAATTATTTCCTATTTCTGCACATTGCACTGAATCTGTAATTATTGATGTGGGACAGTTATATATCCATGAATGAATTTGCTGGGTTATTATTCTATAGTACTTCTATACCCAGACCCAGTTCATCGAATGATTAGCTAGTCTTGATTTTCTGATCCTTCGTCTTCTTCTTCCTCCTCTTCTTCTTCCTCCGCCCGCCAGTCAAAAAATCGTTGCCAGACATCACGATCATCACCGACATCTACGTTATCCCGACTATACTCGTCGTACTCGTTCCACTCCCCCAACGTCATCAGATGTCGCATCGTCGGCCGCCCGTGGGGACAATTCCACGGCTTGTCGATCGTGCCCATGTGTCGAACCACCTTCTCCATCTGCTTGACGGTGAGGGTCTTGCCGATCATGATGCTCGACCGGCATGCTCGCATCGCAAACATCTTCCGCACCTTGCTCGGGCGCGGGATGTACATGCTACTACCATCTCGATCGGTGGTCGTGGTGGCCGTCGGCGAGTCGGCCAGCAGCACGATCAGCTCTTCTAAATCACGGACATCAAAGACGACCTCCTTGCTGAGCGGCAGCGAGACGAGCTTGCATCGCCGGCCGATGGGCTCGTCGCCGCTCTCGTCAACCTCGACAACGAAGCCATTCTTCTCGAGTGCAGCCCGATTCTCAATGATGACTTCTTCCTCGACCGCAGTAAGGTCGAGTGTCTTGGGTCGCACCAGACGCTGGTTCTGCACCACCGTCTCGGCCTGGAGGCGCTCGAAATTGTATTTTTCATCCGAGGCATGTTGATCGATGATGAAAAGTTCGTCTTTCGCTGATGCAGATGACGCTGTCTCAGCAGCGTCCTCGGCCAACCGTGTTGCCAGGATGAAGCCCAGATTGAACTGCCCAACAATACGCATCTTGGCAAAATCATCCTTGGACACGGTCAATGACAGCCGCTCCTCGCTGGATTGTTGTTGGGACGATATGCCTTCTTTGTCCTGCTCTGCAGCGACTTTGTGGGCATATGACTGAAGGTTTCTCCGTAACGTCTCCATTTGTGTCTGGATTCTGGAGATCGAACCGTTGATCTTTCCCACAAGATGGGCTGTCGAATCACGCCGGGCATGTTGGCCTTTGGTCAAATATTTGGCGCGATTGACGTGGTTTTCAGCTGGCACCTCAGCCTTTTCTTCAGCTTCTCGAATGAGTTCCTGCACCTTTGCCTCTTCCTGCGCCTTCTTCTCTGCCTCATCGACATATTCCTCATCAGATCCCTCGGCTATCTCACCAGCCGCCTCCGACTCCAATCGATCCGGTGCGTCGTCCTCCGGATTAGCAGATACCTCTTCTTCATGCGAAGAGACTTCAGGTTCCTCCGTTGGTTGTTCTGCTTGTGGAGATTCAGAAACTTCACTGGCAGCATCCTCTTCAGCATCGTCCATGTCTTTCTCACTCTCACCACCCGAAATCTCAGTTGTTTGCGTCCCCGGCGCGGCGAAAGATTTGAGACTCTGACCGAATATGTTCGGTCGGGACGGGGTGTGGATTCGACGTTTTGTTTGCCGTGCACCAGCTGCAAATCCTGTGGATGAGAGGTCTCTTTTCTTGGAAGGACCGCTGCCCACCACAGAAGTGACGGTTTTGTTACCTATGGTGATGGTAGCAATCTCAGCTGGCGGTCTCCTCGGTCGTATCCGATCAAAAGCATTCTGCACTACATTTGGTTTCTCGCTGGGGGCAGTTCCTCGTAATGTCGGAATTTGCTGCTCATGCGTGGGAGCAGTTGCTGATTGTATCGCCTTTTCGGACTCTTGTGAGCTAGCCTCAGCTCTCGCAGATGAGGGATCTTCTTGTTGTGAATCATCGACATTCGTATGTTCGTCAATGGTAATGGACATTTCTTGACTCGATTTTGTTTCACTACGAGCAGCCGTATCCGAAACCAAGCTCGTGCTTTGTTCCAAAGTTCCACCACCGCTAGACGGCAAAGGAACATTGCCCTTATCATGGCCTACTAGCTGTTTATCATGGAGATCAGCCATTGAAGGACGGGATTCAGCCTGGAGGCTCCCCTCGGCATCATCCTGATCTATATCTGATGTTGCTTGTGTCGCTGGCTGCTCCTCCGATACCGCGTCTTCAGGCAGCTCTTTCTGTAGATGTTGCTTGATCCCCGACTGATGTTTGGTGGCTGCAACCTGAGACTGAGGCACAGTCTGCTCTGCCTCCTGAAACAGCCTATTCAGGGCATCTTTCAGGGATTCTATAAGCGGTCCCGAGTCGTGCAGCAGAATGGTGCGCTTATCAGGAGATACGTTCACATCGTATGCACTGGTATCCATCTGGAAATCGGCAAACACAAACGGCGACTGCGAGACGTTAAACGACTTGTAAACCTCGTTGAATGCCTTTGATATCTGAGGCAGACCGCAAGGCCGCGAGTTGACGAAGAACATCTGCCGATCGGGCGTCTGTCTTCCCTCTCCGAACACTGGTCGCGAGATATGTCCCCGAACGTGGATTTTATTCAGCTCTCGACCCGCCCGTTTGGCCTCTGCGGAGGGTTCAAATTCCAGGTCGAGGTCAAGAGGAATCAAGGCCAGGAGGGTCTTTGCGCCGTAGACATTCGCAATGTTCTCCTTTGTGGTCTGGTTCGCATTCGTGGCGAAGACCACGACATTCTTGGCCTTTCCGACCGTGTTTTTGACGCTGAAACGCACCCCAGTGCTGATACAAGCATAGGCGTGTAGCAGATTCAGCACCTTGCCATACTCCCGTTTGATATTCTTTTCGAGTTCCCGCCGCCGCACGGGCAACCTGCTGAACAGGTTTCTCACAAATGCCGTGGTGCCTTTCTGACCGGCGACGACCTGGACCTGCTTCAGCTTCCCTGAAACCTCAAAATCCAGCTTGTTCGCCTTTGGCGCCTGGTGCGCCTGTGCGGTGACGATATGAAAGTCGGAGAGGGCGCATAGCGACGAGAGCGCCTCGCCACGGAACCCGAAGGTGGTCAAGGACGACAGATCGTCAAAGGTCGAGAGCTTCGAGGTATAGTGCTTGAGAGCTGTAGAACATCAAAAACAACCGAAAAGTTAACGTGTCGCTCCTTTAAAAGGACCTCTAGAGAATCGTAATCAGACTTACCGACGCCCTCGTAGTCGCTTGGTGCAATACCGCTTCCATTATCCTGCACCTCAATCGAGTCCAGACCGTTATTCTTGAACCGAACCTCTGCAAATAGCAGTCAAGTCAGTACAGATCAGCAGCAGAGGAAGAAAGGCAAAAAGAAGAGGCCACACCTTACCAATAGACGTAGCACCAGCATCCAGACTATTCTCGACAAGCTCCTTGACCACAGAGCAGAGATCAACAATGACTTGACCAGATTGTATTTGGTGGACCTGTCATTTGTTTTATTGCACCAGATAAGCAAAAAAATACCACCCCCCAAAAAAATTCACAATATGAGAAAGTGAAACTTACTGAGCGTGCCTCAATGGGCTTGATTGTGGCCATGTTCATCCCATTCCGTGAAATGGGAGTGCTGCTTTGATGATGCACGGTTGACGCGGTTTTCGCGTTCCCGACGCTCCTCTCTTATTTATTCCTGTTTCGCAGACAGCCTGCAAGATACCTATGCATGCAATTTACTCAACGCCACACTTCAGTTACCTAGGTATATCTAAAGCTACATTTAAAGCAATAAAGAGACCCCAAGCTTATGAATCACATGATATGTTGTTATTCCCTGTTATCCTGTCCCTAAGAAAAGAGTGCTATCGTGACGTAGTCGCTGCCATGTTACTATACATAAAAATGAACCAGAACACCAACGTAATAAAACGACCGTGAAAAGAACCATCCATCCATAAGCACACAAATTAGAAGTCGAACCGATCAGGCATTAGCACGGGAGCAATCAAGGTCCACAGATAAATAGCGTAACAGATCCAGGCGCTGATAATCTTCACCCAGCTGGCCCAATACGTCCTGCCAACCGGGGCAAAATCGCCTTGGGTTTCAGGATCCAAATTCTGCGTTAGAAGGGTTGCGACCCAAGTGGTTGCCAAGAAGAAAATGACGTGGAAGAGCGAGTAGTTATACTGGGTCGAGTTGCGTTCATCATCCTTCGAGTCATAGGCGTCATCTTCGTCGTCGCTCTCATCCAGCGCACTGGCAGGCAAGCTGCCACTCTCCACAGCAGCACGAAGAGCTTCGGCACGCATCTCTCGGCGGCTTGAAGGCTGCTGAGTCACAAGCCCATGCTCGTTCTCGTCTGTACCCAGGGCGGAATAGTTGTGCCCAGCTTTCGAGCCTAGGGCAATGCCCTGGGTAGCAGCACGTGTGGTCGTATAAGCGATTGTGGCCATCGTGACAATGGCACCGAGAACAATGGAGGCTGTCCTCGTGCCTTGAGCACGAATGAGGGGGTTGCAGTGACGATCATCGGGCTCCATGGAGACGGCCGACAGGGTAAGATACGTGCAGTAAACTGTGACCATGGCGGCTTGCGCCAACCCAGCTCGAGGGTTGTACTCCTGCACCGTAGGCTGAATCGATACGACGGAAACAATAAGGAAGAGAATAAGATTGATCTACAGAAGTTCAGAGGTCAGCTCCGGGCTTCGTTCGACAAACTTTTCTTTGGTACTTACGGTTACCACAGCTTGGTTCATCGAGCAGCCACTCTGCGCAAAGAACACGTACATCAGCACGGTCATGACGATCGAGGCGATGTACATGCCCAGGGTCGAACCAATCAGCAATCCACGCCAAAATCGCGAATCGCTGTCCTCGATCTTCTCCAAGCAGAGTTCCGCCCAGGAATGCGCAAGATCGACGAGGAGGATAAGGCCGAGCAGGAGGAACAGCATCGCGCAGACGAAAGCAATGTAGTGGCCGTAGACTAAGAAGAAACCCTCCGGGATGAAGAATGACATGACCACGAAACCGATCCAGAAAATGATCTTCGGACCCCAGAACCCATTCTGCAAGGCCGCCCTGCTATCTTTGGATGTCCTCACGCCGAGGAGTAATAGGGCGAGGATGAGGTGGAAGAGACCAAGGCCAAAGTTAATCCGATGGACAGCTACCCAGCCATAACACTCTTTGCCGTCACATCGTATGGTCATGTAGTCGAGGGTCATATGCTCTAGCTTTTTGAGAGCCCAGGGTGTGAGCATCATCCAGGAGATCATGGAGTTGATGAGCAGGATGAAAGCATAGGCGATTCGCGTCGCCATACTGTCCCAGAGTCAGCGTCATCCGGGATGAATCAATCGCGAGGACACTCGAGACCTACCTGCTCTGAAACTTTCCACAGGCGCTGCAGACTGCTGAGCAGGTCGCCGCTCCGCAGCAGGAGGCCCCAACGGACAGAAGCTACTCATGTCAGCCGTGTTCAAGATGCAGTCTTGGGATGGAAGCATGACGTACGGTGCTGGCGCTGGGCAGCGCCATGAACGGAATGGAGAGTGCGGCACCCATCGTGACCAGCCCTATGGAGCGCCGTAATATATGAACTGGGAGGAAATCGGCAGCTTGAGTTCTGGCAGGAGTTGCAACACAACGAGGTGTTGGCAGGAATGGAGCAGGCAGCGACAAGGCGGAGGCGGGACTTGGAGAGAGCCGCCTTCGTCACTTACCCCCCTTACATAAGCAGTGCCTGCGATCGCGATGTCGGAGATAAGTCCGCGGCGGAGTGTTAGGTTAATTCGACAATGTGGGAGGACGTCTCGTGATCATATACCAAGTAGCGTTTACGTCTCATAATTTCTGCTCTGCCAACGTATTGGGACCTCGTGGCTCCTCGAAACCGTCGTCGCATCCCACTGCCAAGCCTGACATCCCAGCTGCGACGGCGATCGGAGAGTCAATAGTTACATCTTATCGGTGGAACCGATACTGAAACTAGGACTCTGGAAGCCGCGCGTCCCTATTTATTGGCTTTTTGCTGTCTCCTTTCTTTTTCTTTATGACTGCTCAGGACAAGAGGTATCGAAGGTGCAACGGCGCTGGCTAATTGCGCATTGCGCCATGACTGCTTCAACGTTGAGAGCCCAGAGGCTGCTTTCGGTGGTAGCGGCGACGGTGATTTCTCTAGCCTGTGGAACGAATGTACGTAGGGTTTTGAAGGAGATTTCCTTGTTCTGAGCAGAGAATCCGGCTAATGTCCTCAACAGTATGCATACTCAGCATGGGCGCCTCAATTCGCCGAGAGGCTGAAACTCTCGTCGAAAGAGAGCAATCTGATAGTAAGTTCCTCGTTCCCAAGGAAGGACTGCGACGGCTCATAGTGGTCTTTCTTAAGGGCACGGCAGCAAACCTAGGCATGTATGCATCGGGGATACCCATCGGACTCTTGATCGACACGAAGGGCCCCCGTATTGCTCTCCTGATCGGAGCAGCCACCATTGGAGGTGGCTACTATCCTATCCATATAGGTATGGTTCTCTGGTACTACCCTGGAGATCTTGTGCTAATCTAGAGTTTATTGAAAAGCATATGAAAATGGCCAAGGCTCTGTCAGTGTTGGCTTTTTGCTGGTATGCTCATTTCTTACTGGACTGGGAGGTTGTGCGGCCTTTTCAGCAGCAATCAAGGCTGGTAAGTATTCACTCGTCGTGTGCATATATACAGGAAATTGAAAGAGGAAAAACCCAAATCTAGCGGCCACCAACTTCCCGGACCACCGTGGGACTGCCACTTCTTTCCCTCTTGCTGCGTTTGGTCTCAGCGCGTTTGTCTTCTCGACAATATCGTCCCTGGTGTTGAAGGGGGACACCGCTCAATTCCTCCTCTTGTTATCCGTGGGGACCACGGTCATGATCCTGGTCTCGACGATCTTTCTCCGCATCATCCCTACGCGGAGTTCGTATGCTCCTCTGCCGCACCACGACGCAGAAGACGGAAGTAGTACATCGCGGGGAGGGCGCCGGTCGCTATCGGTCGACGACCGGCATGTCTACTATGGGGTCGATGAAACAGGTACGCTGAACCGAGCTTTTGCACCACAATCCCAGACACAAGCCAGGTCATCACCACCTGCCTCGTCCAGCGCGGGCCTAGCCAACCGCAACGCCGACACCGACGAAACCTCGTCCCTAGTATCCAAAACCACAACCCCAAGAGAATCCGAGGACCGAAGCCACGAAGCAGAAATGCCTGCTGAGATGGGAAATAGCTCACATTATCCAGATGTCAGGGGATTGGCTCTACTGTCTAAGTTAGAGTTCTGGCAGCTTTTCCTGATTATGGGGCTGTTGTCTGGTATTGGTCTGATGACGATCAAGTGAGTCTCACCCAGCCATACTATCCCGTATTTTATTTCTGACAGTTTGCAGCAATATCGGCAACAACGTAAGGAGGCTGTGGAACACTCATGTTCGTCCAGAATGCTGACCCGCGCATAGACGAAAGCACTTTGGAAATACTACGATGACAGCGTTGATTCGATATTCATTCACCATCGTCAAGTGGTTCATGTATCGACGCTGTCCATCTGCAGCTTTATCGGCCGGCTTCTGAGTGGTAAGCCCGCTGCATCCTTTTCCAGTGGTGATGATCTCTGACCACCTCCAGGCGTCGGATCCGACCTTCTAGTGAAGAAACTGCAAATGTCGCGCTTCTGGTGCCTGTTCATCTCAGCGGCCGTCTTCACCATGACGCAGATGGCCAGCTTCTCCATCTCGAACCCGCACCACCTGATCGTCGTGTCGTCCGCGACAGGGCTAGCCTACGGCTTCCTCTTCGGGGTATTCCCGTCGCTGGTCGCGCACACGTTCGGCATCGCAGGCCTGTCGCAGAACTGGGGGGTCATGACCCTCGCGCCCGTCATCAGCGGCAACGTCTTCAACCTGCTCTACGGCACCATCTACGACCACCACTCGGTCATCTCGCCCAAGGGCGAGCGCGACTGCACCGAGGGCCTGCGCTGCTACCGCGCCGCGTACTATGTGACTTTTTTCTCTGGCCTGGCGGGCCTGCTCGTCTGTCTGTGGAGTATCTGGCAGGAGAAGCGCGTTCATAGGTCCGGGTCTGTCTTTGTCAGGAAGCCTGGACAGCATGAACGGATTGCTTAAAAGTCAAAAAAAAAGGAAAGAAATTCATACATAGAAAAAACAAACAAACATAAGCAAATCCCGGGATCTGTTTCTATTTTTTTCTCTCAAGGTCTTCCGTCTGTCTATAATAATCCAGTGCTATGTATTTCCTTTCTTTTTCTTCTTTTTCTACATCCATCGCATTATTACTATATTACTATTACTATATTACTATCTATATTCACTCTCACAATGTATGTACAGTACATACATACATACACCGGACTGTAGAAAAACATTTCCTTTTTTTTTACCCTTTTTTTTTAACTTCCCACTAGTTGTTGCATTCATTTATCTTGTTTGTTTTCCTTTTTTTTTTTGGTTTATCCACTTGCATGCATTGCTAAATAGATAGACATCTGCATCTAAATCATCTACGTATATCTATCCTTCTTTCTTCTCATGAGCTCATGACGGTTGCTTGTTCCTGGGGAAATTGGATTAGATTAATTACTAAATTACCTATACTAGGACTAGGAGGGAGTACCTTCCTTCTATATGTATGTACAGTACGCGTGTACGATACATAAAAGAGCACTACCTAGTACTGTAGTTATATGACAAATGCATGCATTCTACTTTTTATCTCTCGTAATACTGATATTCCACACAAACACGCGAAGAAGGAATCAATCAAAAGTAGTATTACACTAGATCGATAGATAGTTATAGTAGGTAAACTAGTCAACGTGAAAGCAAGGCGAAGAAGCAAAAAGTGATTGGAGAGTTAAAGAGATTTTTTTTGGCCACCCCCAGAGACAGCATGGCAATGAGGAAAGAAGATGGGAAAAGTAAGGGGGGGGGGGGGGGTAGGGTAGGGTAGTGGTAGTGAAGACTGCCAGGCGAAGAAAAAGGCACGTCTCTCATGATGAGCGATCCAAATGTTTATTATATACACTCGGTCCATGTTGGAACGCAAGCGCAGATAACTGACTGAATCGAGAATCGAAAGAAAAAGGGGGAAAGAATAAAGAAACAAATAATTATTTCGATAATGGAATGATCAAATCGTGCAATCCCCGTTGCTGATCCTAGCCGCCCATACCACTCTATATTCATGATAACCCATTCCCAACGCGAAAAGCAGAACAAAATAGAAAAGATATTAGGCCAAAGTTGGCGGTAAATAAGACAACACTTTCTCATCTCCCCTCCCTTTTTCTTTTTAAGATTTTTTTTTCACACAATTGCCCTCTCGGCAGTAGATTCCACTTCTTGTTCTTGTCACTGTTATGTGGAGATCAAAATTGACCAGCCAAGAAGACAAAGGCATTTTAACAGGCGAAATCCAAGTGAGAATAATTTTTTTGTCTTCGCCCATCGAGAGATTCATCACAGGGTATCAAAGAATCAGAAAGAAGTCGAAAAGAAAACAAAAAAACAATCCGCTTGACCTAGACCTCACACTGTCTTGGGAGACTTGGCGGGGTCTTCGGCAGAGTAATCCACCACGTCGGATAAGCGGATCTTCTTTGGCAAAGGCTCGCTGGAACCGTTGCCATTCCCGTTTTGTGTGGAATTGGAGTTGGAATTGGAGCCGGTACGTTCCGCCAGCTGCTGCTCGAGTTCACTGATACGACGCTTGAGTTCCTCTTCGCGCCGGTGAGCTTCCTCCAGCGACCGCCGCAGGCGCACCTCGGAATCGCGGACGATCATTTCGGACCGCCGGGCGGTTGCATCGCTCTGCTCGAGCTCGGCGACGCGACCCCGGAACAACTCGTTGATCACTTCAAGCTCGCTGACCCGGGTCTTGAGAGACGTGTTCGCCGCCAGCAGGCCTTCATAGGTCTGAGGCACGTCGAGATGACGGTCCACGACCGAGGAGGTCGAGCCCGGCGACGGTTGCCTGATCTGCAGAGCCGGAAGGGTGTTGGAGTTGTTGAAGTTGTGATCAGTGAGCGTGACGCTGTCGAACATGTGTTGAGGAGCAATGTTGGAATTGTGTTGTTGCTGCAGAGACGGCACGCCCGGGGTATTGGTGCGGGAGATCGGGGAGTTGGAGCGGTCCGAATGGCCGGGGGATGTCTTTCGGGATGCACGACGATAACCCTGAGAGCCGAGAGGGGGCGTGCCTGCCTCTGATCTTGAGGCCGACAGGCCGTTCGTGTCCAGATTACTGGCGGACTGCGACGCGACACGAGTTAGTGATGGTTGCGGCAAGCGATGGATGCGCGCGGGATGCGCGAGGCCTGTGAGAAAAATCTTTCGGGAGCGTACGCACCTTGCGCTTAGGGCCCTGTCCGGCAGTTTTTACCCGGTTGCGACTCTTGATGACATCGGTCTTGAGGCTGATCGGCCGTGGACGGCCATGCAGCTTGAGGAAGAGGCCGCAGGCATTGCAGAGGACGGAGCCAAGCTCGTCCCTGCGCCAAAGGGGCGTGGTGGAGGTGCCACAATTCTGACAGACAGGCTGTAATTGAGGGCGTTTTTGATCAGTCAATGTCGTAGCCATGGCGAGAAAAGGGGATCGAGGAAGGCAGGGTCAGAGAGGGAGCCGGGAAGAGGGAGGGAGTTGGGGTGCTGATAGTGGCAGCGAGGTGGGAGAGCGCGGTTGATAAGATCTGGAGAGATTTGACGGTCGGGCGCGATAAGGCCTGAAAAGCGGGTGGTGCAGCCGGCAGAACAGACGAGCCGGCGCCAAGACCCGCAGCCGCAGCTGATAACAGCTTGCACACGCCAGACAGCCGAGGATGCAGAGACGGGCATTACACAGATAATAAAATAAATAAAATAATAAACTATGGTCCAAAGACTTACTGGAGTGTTGCCCTGGCCTCCCGTGGTCGCTGCCGGCGATGACGTTGCGTACGACATGGTCACAGTGGCATTATTGTTGCTGCTGCTGGGGGATCTGCGGCAAGACGATTAATCAATATTAGGCTCAGCTCAGAATAATAATAATTCGAATTACTTCTTCGGTGGTGACTGGCTGCGGGTTGGTTCCTGAGGCAGCAATCGACCACCCGCCGTGCTGACCACAGGACCGCCCATTGCACCCCCGCAAGACACGTAGAACATCCTCCCCCTTCACAGATGTGTATTTATTGATCTGGCACGTACCGTAGCTGTGATGTGGGAGCCGATGCCACAGAGGCCAACGCCGACAGTCCCGGGAGCGAAGGAGGGACGGTGCTGGACCCTACAAAGCTGCTGCTGCCGCCACTGCCGCTGTCACCCCGGAGCTCCAGAGACGAAGGCGGCGGGAGTGTGTTCGACGGGGGCGTGGACGTCGATGGTGAAGCCCCGTGGGCGAGGTCTGTGGGCGAGGGGAGGTGAGGAGTCACCTGGCCGTCAGCGGGAGCAGAGGTGTAGCCGGCGAGTTGTCGGGACTGCGGCTCGGACGACGATGGCGAGCGGAGCGCTGGATCAATGGGCGAAGCCCGGAAAAGTAGAGGAGCCACTGTGGAAGCCGTGGTGAAGGATGGTCGAGACCTCCGCGGGTCCCGAGTTGACAGACGACAGGAACAGGATCAAGCGTGCAATGAAGCAGGAACAGACCGGGTGAGGTCTGCCGTCGACAGATGAGGCACAGGGATCTCGCAGGCGGGTTGACAGCGGAGCGGAGGAAAGTGACTAAAATTAAGATATGACTGTACAATTAGGACGTGAACGAGACAGTATAATAAACAGTGTAGTGCAGTGCAATAAGAGGAAACAGGTCGTTCGATAATCAGAAGGGTCGTCACCGGGGGGGGGGGGGAAATTAAAAAAGAGAGAGACAGGAGCGGGAGAGGAACGATCGACGACGGCCGGGAGATACAATTTCCAAAAGAGTGACTGACGTTGGGATAGCGATGATTAGAGGGATCGAGGGAGGAATTAGGTCGGTTAGGCAGTTCGTAGCTAGAGGAGAGTAGGAGAATGATGGAGAGGGCAATCGACCAACCCGAACAGGAGGAGGACTGAGGCCTGTAATGAGACAGGCCGCCAGCAGCTGCTACTGGTCGATGATGGCTCCTGGTGGGTAAACGGGTGCTATCGGCGCTGGTATCGATTCGACCCGCGACGATCGTCTGCGAGCGCGCGTCCTGGAGAATTCTGGCAGCTGCTTGGTATTAACGTCGTGCATGCGAGGGACCAGTCCGCTTGCCCACCGCCGGCTTGGTATGGGCCGCTTGGCTGGGCATGCCGCTTTTCTTCAGGGCCTACGATGGCTACATTCTGGATCACAGCGGCCTGGATGCTCCCAGGCCGTTGTTTTCCTCAGGTAATAATGTTCTTCGTTTTTCTTACCTGGCCGTAACGCTAGCTGGCAATCTGGGGCACTCGACGTACTTATCGCACCCCTGCGTGTTCCCCCTTTAATTGAGACGGCTCCCGATAACGGACCTGCTCCCGCTCCTCCAGTGGGATAAGCGATAATAATACGCCTCCACAAGTTCCATCTGGTCACACGGAAACCTCATTGTTACCAAATTCCCGTACCGCGCGGCAGGAAGGGGCTCTGTTATGCACCTGCCATTGGACCGCGGAGCCTTGAGCAGGCCACCTGCCGGTACGATACGGTATTCTGCGTGTCCTCCGAATGTTACCTCTTTACGTACTGTGTGTACACGATAGGAGGAGTTGTCGCTGTCGAAAAAAAGCTACCTTCCTAGCGGTTCTAGCCAGGTTCTAGCCAGCCTGAGTCACTACTACTAGCGAGCTAGCCGTCTCCGCGGCTCCATCTGTCGGCCTCTTAGGCTCATACTAAGTACTCTGTAGTAAGTATCCAGATCTACTCTTCTGCACGTCCATAGTCGAAATATTATCCCTTGGTACCTGCAGCGGTCCGTACCGTCGTCTGGTAATGTTCCGCGCCGGTGCCTACGTTATCTTGCGATGAATTCTTCGCCCTGAGTTCCTTTCTGTGGCTTCAGGCCACACTCTTCGTCATGCTCGATGACTGACTGACTGACTCCCAACTCGGCCATCCGGCAAGAAGACCCGTATTTGGGTCGAGCGTGTGCGTCGTGGTGAGCGATCTTCGGCCGAGTGGGCTATTAATTCTTATTATTAGAAGTAGGAAATACACGGTCCTCATAGTTGGCTTAAGGGGTGCAATCGGGGCACGCGCTGGATTCCACGCGGTGGAGCAGCGCGGTCACGGGCTGGGCTGTGGCTCCCGTGGCTGACCCGGCAGCCCCTGCTGTGGCTGGTGCGCCGCCGCGGGTCCGCACTAACGTTGCTCCGTCGCCTTAGCAGCGGACCTCCTCCACTCCGTCGCCGTTGCTGCACCACGCCCCTAGCTCTCCTCCAAGGGGCTGTGCCACTGCCCAATCTGTTCCTCAGTCCCATTCCTATTTTTGTTTCTGCGATGCCTTGAGATACCTTCACGTGTGCCCCTCGGTGTCTCTGTCTTTGCTTCCTGTTCATTCCTTTATTTTCTTTTTGTTGTTATTTTTTATTTGTTTGTCGCCTCCGTCCGTTCGGCTGCTGCGGCCATGCCCAAACAACCGCGCCCGGCCACGTCTGGCTACGCTCGCCTCGCCCAGGCCGAGGAGGAGGAGAGAGACCAAGGATACTATGACTCTTTGGACGAAGACGACCCCTATGACGTGCCACGCACCTTATCCACCTCGACTCCTCAGTATGCGCCCATCTCCGCTCGCGCCCCCGGCACCTTGTCGCCGCCCGAATATCGCCGCAAAAGCAACGGCCACTATCGACGTCGAAAGCGGAGTAATTCGACCGGTGTCGACATCAAGGCGATCAATGCTCGTCTGGAGCGCTGGGCAGAGGAAATTGCCTCCAAGTTCAAGATCCACAAGGGCCGGGGCAAGTCTTCGGAAGACGAGAAACTAGAGATCTATCACACCGTCTTCCAGCCTCCCGACGGCGTTCGACCTTACACGGCGGAGATGTTGGAATCGGATGAATGGGAAAAGAAGCAGCAGCAAGCCCGCGCAGAGTTTGAAGCTATCGTCGAGAGTGTTCGCACCGCCATCGACATGGGCATTCATCCGAAGATGATCTCCCAGGGCAGCTCTGGTAGCTACTTTGCCCGCAACCCCGAGGGAAAGATCGTCGGCGTCTTCAAGCCCAAAGATGAGGAGCCGTACGCTTCGAGGAACCCCAAATGGACCAAGTGGCTGCACCGGAATCTCTTCCCTTGCTGTTTTGGCCGCGCATGTCTCATCCCCAATCTGTCCTACGTTTCCGAGGCCGCCGCCTACGTGCTCGACTGTCGACTGCGCACCAACATAGTCCCATACACCGACATCGTCTGGTTGTCCTCGAAATCCTTCTACTACGATTTCTGGGACCGGAGAAAGGCATGGGGAGGCCGGAAGCCGCTTCCTGCCAAGGTGGGCAGTTTTCAAGTCTTCCTGAAAGGATACAAGGATGCAACCGTCTTCCTGCGGGAGCATCCCTGGCCCGATCAGACCAATTCGGGTTTCCGTGCTGAGGATGCCCCGAAGCGGAAGAAGCGACCGTGGAATGAAGCCTGCCGGCCCTCTGGCATCCATTCTGATGACGAAGAGGACGAATATGACGATGCACATGTCCGCACGCCGTCTCCCCAAGACGAAGAGCCCCGCTTCTACTGGACCGAGAACCTGAAGCAGTCATTCCGAGAAGAACTGGAGAAGCTGGTCATTCTAGATTACATCATGCGAAATACAGACCGCGGTTTAGACAACTGGATGATCAAGGTCGATTGGAAAACGGAAGAAGTTTCCATCGTCGCGGACCCTCCCAAGACAAATGGTCTTGCCGACCACGATCATGATCATGACACCATGCCCCCGGCCCGTCCGGTATCCGTCGATGCGGAGAGGAACGGTGCGAACCGAAGTACATCGTCATTGCCTTACAAACGGCATGAAACCATGGTGGCTACGAGCCGGACAGGGACCCCCTCAAGTGCCCTGGAATCTCGGGCGTCAATAAAAATCGGAGCGATCGACAACAGTCTTTCGTGGCCATGGAAGCATCCCGATGCGGTAGGTCGATTGGTATCCCCCCTCAGTGGACATGGAGCAAATCAGGCTAACTCGATCCAGTGGCGAAGTTTTCCCTTCGGTTGGCTTTTCCTTCCCGTCTCACTCATCGGACAGCCGTTCTCTCAGAAGACGCGAGACCATTTCCTCCCGCTGCTCACGTCGACCGCTTGGTGGAGCGGCACGCAGACGGCTCTCCGACGGGTCTTTTCTCAGGATGCCGATTTCAAGGAAAGCATGTTCGCCAAACAGATAGCCGTCATGAAAGGCCAGGCCTGGAACGTGGTTGAAACCCTCAAGCAGCCGGATCATGGTCCCTTGGAACTCACTCGAAGGACGAGGGTGTGCGTCTGGGATGACCGGGTGGATATTCCCGTCGCGATCCCGCTTCGCGGGCCCTCGACTGAGGCGCAGCGACGCCGGGCGAGAAAACGCGGTCAGGAACAGGAAGAGATGGATATCAGCGCAGCCATATCTTCTGAGCAGGCGCAGGAGAACGATCTGCTGAGCTGGGGTTCTCCGCCTAGCGAGCTTCCAAACCCCAATCGATTTGAACTGGCCCGCGGCCGACGCTCTGCCGAACTAGGGAGCATTGGAGAAGAAGGCGGCAGCCCCCGTGAATCGACATACAGTAGTTTCGATGACAGCAGAGAGTTAGCTAGGAGCTGGGCTGTCCCGTCTTCCCGACCTCGGGGTACCAAAGCAGGATCTGACTCCGGGCGACCAGAGCGGTCGGGAAGACACGGGCGACAGAGCTCTCTCTCCCATCGCCGTTCCAGCAACCCGTGGGCCTTTGGAGGAGACGATCTCGAAGGCGATCTGGGGTATGCTGCGGCCGAGGGAATGGAAGGGACTGAGCGCAAAGTCATTGTCGAACGCCTGGAGACGGTAAAGAGCAAAAACCCCGTCTTTACATGGTGTTAATCTGCCTCCTTTTTTCTTCTTCTTTTCCTTTTTTTCTTATTTATTAATTTATTTTTTGCCTCTTTTCTGTCTCTTCGCGATGGCGAAGAGACGCATTTTGACGACACTATGCACAGCCTTTTGGACTCTGGGAGTTCTTCACGGAAAATATGCGGGCGGAAAGTGATTGTATATAGACACCACATTGTTGGTTTAATCTCCTGAGTTAGAAGTCGCCTTGTCGACCCCGATTCATTGTAATATAGTTACGATTATTGCCATAATGCAACTGGAATCTGGCTGCTGTAATGACTGATGCTCTGTGAACGATAAGCTGATAGATAGCTGCCGTCGAGGCAATCTTATCGCGGATCTCTTGGCGCGCCGTCGATCTGCCGGTGCGTCATGCCTTCGGTCCGTTACCCAGCCGCCATCAGCCTCAGGCGACTCTCTCCGCTTCATAACCCTCACGTCCAGCTCTGGATGTGAGGTCACTATGAATAGCTTTCCTTGGTGCCCTCTGTCATTTTCTAGCTCTTCCACTGTCTGCTCCACGCGGCCGATGGTCTTCCGCTGTAAGGTCTGTCGCCGCTGGGATTATACACTCGTTTCATAGAGACTCGATGACCACCGTCCCCGTATCAGGGCCAGACACTCTTACGCGTCTTTCAGCTCACCTCGCCTTCGCAGAAACATCTCAGGACATATCGCTCACTTCGCTACCCCTTGGTGAAGTTGACTTCAACGTCTAGAAACCCAACGGCGACTCGACACCATGGCGTCTCGTGCCGCCATGCTGCTGGACCCGCGGGCCTACAAGAAGCAGATCGAAGCCAATGGTAACGATCAGGAACCATCTTCTTTCTCCCCTTCTCATAAATCAGGCATGGCTGGTAGAGCTTGTAGCGAACCACCAGCTTCATATTCTGATTTCCTCACCCCTGACCCTCATGATGACCCCGCATCTTCAACCGAGGACCAGAGTGGCTCACTTCGTCAAGGATTAGAGCAGCAAGACGCAACCCGGGCTGGCGGTGCTTCTCCTGGCACTGCACCAGCAGGAACATTTTCGACAGCGCATCAACTTCTGAATCCCAGGTCTCAGTCCACGTCCTCTAGGACTGGGCCCAAGTCGAGATCGCGATCGAGTTCCATTCCGCCACAGCCTCCGAAAAACGATGCGCTCTCTGCCAAAGACGAATCGCAACACAGACGCGACGTTGATGTCGAGTTTATCAACGGCGACTTCCCAAACGGTGAAGAAGGCGAAACGAAGGCAAAGCGTCCTCGAGAGGATGATAGTCCCGGTGGAGGGCATGTCAGTCTGATCGAGAACATGTACGGAGTGGAAAGACGCGAGGACCAGCCGCAGAAACGCGTCAAGACGGCTAAAGAAGTAGACGAGAAATCTGTGACCCGAACGAAGTCACAGTTTGAGATATCTGGGAACGGTGGCTTGGGCGACTGGATGAAAGAAGGCAAGGAAACGCCCGGCACGACACCTGACGTCGTCGATCTTACGAGTGGTAAGGATAAATCGATACTTGGATGAACTTGAATTAGGCTTGCTAATGTTTGCTCAGACGCCGGATCCAAGTCTGCATCCGGAAAAGAAGATGATGACTTGCAAGTCACCGGATCTAATGACTTGAGGACTCAAAAAGTCTGCTATGGCAAGATAGAGAATGCCATGATCCAAGCACATATGGTGCCAAAACCCAGCACCCAGAATATCTTTGGAGGCTCTATGCACGATTGGCCCTCTATCAAGCTTGGTGTCCGGCACGAACCTGGTCAGGGGAACAAGATCGAGGTCTGCGATCCTCATGGGCATGTGTTTGGAGCCGTCGATGCCAGAACAGCCGCCGCAATTGTACCCTTACTGGACTCGCCAGCGTTGAAAGTCGAACTCACTGCTCGTCTTGATGTTCGAAGGAGATTGCCGGACGAAATCCCATGGCAGCGCTGTTCAGCTCTGTACCGCGCCTCGATCAATCTCTACGGTCTGAGAAAAGACGCAGACCTGGTGGGGAAGCACCTGGGTCAGAACAATGTCTGGCTGATGACTCCGAATATGGTCGAACAAGGCGTTCCGGTGTTCAACCCTCACGCGGAGAGACGACGCACTCAGCCATCCCAAGCGCCGTCCTCGACTCCCCGTAGTCGCTTGTCCGTTTCCTACGAGGTCCGTACGGCGGAGGAAGTGAACGATGCTGTCATGAAGATGTTTGATCAGCTGAGGAGCGCAGAGAATATTCCTGAAATGGAGCCTCCCCCGCAAATCGCGACACCACTCCTCCGGCATCAGAAACAGGCTCTTTGGTTCATGATGGAAAAGGAGAAGCCTCGCAAGTTCGGCCCCAGAGAAGAGGACAATAATTCTCTCTGGAGGATGGAGCGCTTAGCAAACGGTAGAATACGCTACCGTGAAATCATAAGTGGGACGATTCTCTATGAGGAGCCCCCTCAGTCATTAGGTGGTCTCTTGGCAGATATGATGGGTTTGGGGAAGACCTTGAGCATTCTCTCCCTCGTCGTGGCGACGCTCCCAGAATCTCGAGAGTGGGAGAATAAGGTCCCGAGTCCGGAGCTTGTGCGCGACTGTCCTGATATTCGCAATACCAGGACTACGCTCCTGGTGTCTCCTCTTAGTGCTGTCCATAATTGGGTGGCTCAGATAAAGGAGCATCTGAAGCAGAATGCGATTTCATATTACGTCTTCCATGGCTCTTCACGGACTACCGATGTGGACGAGCTGTCACGATATGACCTAGTCATCACTACTTACAGCATCGTCCTTAGTGAACTCTCTGGTAGAGGCTCCAAGCGGGGGGTGAGTCCCTTGACCAAGATGAACATGTTTCGTATCGTTCTGGATGAAGCCCATGCGATACGCGAACAGAGTGCCGCGCAGACGCAGGCTATTTTCAGACTGAACGGGGAGCGTCGGTGGTCTGTGACTGGCACGCCTGTTCAGAATCGGCTAGAAGACCTCGCATCTGTGACAAAGTTTCTCAGGCTTTTCCCCTACGATGACAAGAGCAAGTTCTCGGCCTATATCCTCAGCCGGTTCAAAACCGGGGATACCAGTGTATTGGCCAGCTTGCGGGTTCTTGTGGACTCATTCACCCTTCGCCGGGTCAAGGACAAGATTGATCTTCCACCGCGACATGATAAGATTATTATGCTGAATTTCTCTGAGAAGGAGAAGCAGCTGCACGAATTTTTCCGCAAGGAATCCAACGTCATGATGAAGGTTATCGCGAATGAGAGCAAGACAACGATGGGAGGGCGGATGTACCATCACGTGCTCAAGGCGATGATGATCCTGCGACAGGTCAGTGCTCACGGCAAAGAGTTGCTCGATAAGGAAGACCGTGAGAGAATCAAGGGCATGAGCGCCCATGACGCCATTGATCTCGACGCGGGCGAGGGCGACGATCAGCCGGGGGCAATTGACAAGAAGGCTTACGAGATGTTCAGCCTGATGCAAGAGTCGTCGGCTGATGTTTGTGCAAAATGCGGCAAACAGCTCGTGGCCAAGACCACCGAGACTGGCGCTACGGACACAAAGGCTCCGATGGCGGTGATGCTACCGTGCTTCGACGTTGTCTGTCCAGACTGTTTCTCTCCGTGGAAACAAGCGTTTGACACCCAGGTCGGAGCGTCGTCCTCGGAGACCAAGTGCTTGGTTTGTGATGGCTGGATCCCCATGACCTATTCTACGATCACGCCAGCTGGATTTGACGAGTACATGGAGACCCAAGCGCAGGCGAAGCACAATCGCAAGAATGCAAAAATGTTGGGGGAGTATGAGGGACCCCACACCAAAACCAAGGCTCTGATCTCTCATCTCCAGAGCACTGCGGACGAGAACGTGCAGAGGAAGGAGGGCGAGCGTCCCATCAAGAGCGTCGTATTTTCGTCCTGGACGTCCCATCTTGATCTGATCGAAATTGCGCTCAAGGATAATGGGTTGACGGGCTATACACGTCTTGATGGGACCATGGCGTTCTCTGCTCGCAATCGGGCGCTGGAAGAATTTCGCGAAGACGATAATATTACCATTCTTCTTGCGACGATTGGTGCTGGCGGTGTTGGGCTCAATCTCACCTCTGCTTCGAGGGTCTACGTCATGGAGCCGCAGTACAACCCGGCGGCAGTGGCGCAGGCTGTAGACCGTGTCCACCGACTGGGCCAAACGCGGGAGGTTACGACGATTCAGTTCATTATGAAGGACAGTATTGAGGAGAAGATCTTCGAACTGGCCAAGAAGAAGCAAAAGCTGGCTGACATGAGCATGAATCGCGGAAAATTGGACAAGAAGGAGGTTCAGGAGGCGCGAATGAGGGAATACAGAAGTCTATTCAAGTGATGGACAAGCATAGCAAATAGAATCTGCGTCCCAACATCGAGAGTTCAAGACGGCGCAATCTGTGGCGTTTGGGCTGGGAAAGGCTGGTTAGGTTATTGTGGTTTGGTTTTTTTTATCCTTCTTTCTTTATAGATACCCCGGTGAATTGCCGCTTCTGATTTCGTTTTGAAATATCCTACGATCTAACATTCTGGAGTCTTTTTCATCTGGGCTTGGCTTGCGAGGCAAGGGTCTGCTTGCGTTTTGCGTGATATTCTCTTTCCCCACATGAGCTTCACTTTTTTTTTATTGCATTTATCGGAGAATTATAGGTTGTTTTGCTGCTGAGCCAACATAGGTAGGGGCGAATGCATCCCGGTCGGTCATCTCATCATTCAGCAATCATCACACTTGCATTGGCGTGGAGACGGGTGCTGCGCGGGCACACTCAACTGGATGATTTTTCTCTGTATCTCTCTATCACAAAAGCCTTGAATCGTACTCTGTCCCTTTTTGTGTTGTTTTCTTGATTTTTACCCCCTATCGTCTTCTCTTGTCACGATCAGCGATCTGTCTGTCCTTATTTTTTTTCCTTTTTCCAGCGGCACTTCAAATAAGACACAAGACACGTGGGCATTTTATATTTCCTTTTTTTTCCCCTCGACCTTCCCAAATCACATTTGCATTTCCAGAGACAAATACAGGATAAAAAAAAATAGAAGGAAGAGGGAAGAGCATCTCGATCAACTACTACCACTATTACTATCTACTACATACAGTACAAGCAATACACAAGAATACAAGAGACATGGACGCAAGTCCACCCATCACCACTAACTACATCGGGGAAACGGGAAGGCAAGCATTCTTGTCATACTCATGTCACTTTAAATCATTCATTCTTTTTTTTTCCAGCAATTGTAATTTAGAATACAATGATGATAAGAATAGAAATCATCATATATGGGGTATCATCACATCGTTCATCATCATCAAAGTGACAAAGCAAAACAAAGCAAAGCAAAAGACTTTTTTTTTATCATCTCATATCAAGGCGATAATCAATCAATCTCTCCGCGCATAAATCCCCCTCTCCACAGCCCCCAAGACGACTTCTAACCGCTGCCCCAATCTCCGCAACTCTTGAGCCTTGCGCTCCCGCTCCGCTTCCACTTGTCGGAGTTCGCCCTCGAGCTCGCGGATCCGGGCCTCCTGCTCGGCCTCCGAGGATCCGATGCCCGGTAGTCGTCCGATCAGGTACTCGATCTGCTGCTCCTTGATGATCAGATCGCGTGCGAGCTCGCGCTGGCGGTAGGCGAAGGTGCGCGGGGAGTCGGGTCGGGGGGGTTGGTTTGGGTCTGGCTGTTGATTTGCTGCACCGCCATCAGTGCCTGCAGTAGTAGTAGTAGCTTGTCCCTCAGTCTGCTGCTGCTGCTGCTGCTGGTGGCCCGGCGGAGGGGAAGCCGAGGAGGCCTGGGCCTGGGCCTGGGCTTGGACTGCGCCCGCCGGCATCGGGGCAGCAGAGGGCTGGTTCTTGGGGATTTTGGCCAGCGGAGGCATTGCGTCGGGGACGTCGTGGGGGCGGGGTGGCGGGCGCGTTGTCATGGTAGGTACTGAGGTAGCAGAGGGTTGCGTAGAATTGGGTTGCCAGCTAGAAAGAGAGAGAAGCACGACCACGACGTCAGCCATGTCCAGGTAAAGAAGAAAGAGAGAGAAGGGACATACCTGATCCAGACATGTCTGGAGCTGTGTGAGAATGTCTGCCATGGCAGGCGATGGTGGTGCAGATCGTTTCGGACAAGATTGCAATTAGTGGTCTTGTGGCTTCAGTGAAAGCGTCCTTTATGGTCGTAGATTGCTGAAGAAAAAGAAACAACTAAGAATGAAAGGAATTTAGCAGAGTCGCGTGGAGGACTCGTGGGTTGTTAACTAACAATTGCAGAGTGGAGTTGCCCGCGGAGGTGACTGCGAGATGGCGGAGCTAGCAACTTCAATAGGGCTTAGTTGCTTCCGCCGATCTCTTCATACTCGCGACCCGGGTCATTACTGCCCTGATTTCTGTACAGTTTGCACACAAGAATCTTGTCTCAGCTAATGGTGCTTCGCAGAGCACTACCACTACGTTTGTCGCAATGTGTCTACCGGTCTTTCTCCCACAGCGCGGCCTCTCTCCAACTGAGTCCCTTCACGCGTCGTCTTTTTAAGCTGCCAGCAGCTCCCCCGCCAGCGTCGCTGAACCACCACGACCTGCCGTCCTTTCTCTCGTACGCGGAGAGAACGGGTCTTCCCGCCTCCAGCACGACCTACGTCGGAACTCACTACGAGTACACAGTCCTGCAGAGCCTGCGTCGTTTTGCCTTCGCGCTGCACCGCGTCGGCGGTCGTGATGATGCCGGTATCGATCTCGTTGGTACCTGGCACCTGCCACGGCGCGCGCATGCACTCCGCGTCGTCGTCCAATGCAAGGCGTTGAAGACGAAGCTAGGTCCGAATCTGGTACGAGAGCTGGAGGGCGCATTTCGGCATTCCCCCGTGGGCTGGCGGACCAGTGAGAAGGTGGCCATCTTGGTGAGTCCGAGAGAGGCGACGAAAGGGGTCCGAGACGCGATGGCGAGGAGCGACTATCCGCTGTTTTGGATCATGATGGAGCGCGACGGCACCATCCGACAGGCGCTGTGGAATGGGAAGGTTGAGGCGCTTGGGCTGGGCGCTCTAGGGGTCGAGACGCGGTACCGCGAGCACTCGTCTGATCCAGCACAGAAGGACATCATTTTGACGTGGGACGATGAGGAGTTTCCCCATATGGACCGCGTCGAAGAGGACATGGCCAAACAGGAAGCTGAATGGGTGGCGACCTGGGGATGCGAGCGCCTGTCGGAGACAGGCAAAGTTGAGTTATTGGAGATGGTGGAGACTGCATTTCCTGACCTGGGTCCCGGACACGCCTTGGAACAAATAGACCAGTCGTCTTTGGCTGCGAAGAAGGCTGAGTTTTTGGCTCTACTGGAGGAGAAATCGCCCCGATCAGGACAGGAGCCCAAATAGCCTGTGAACCGCGCTGACTCAAACCCCAGTCAAGAGAGTCGAGGGTCGCTGTTGGTAGATGCGTCATGAATCATGACATGTACCAATCATGATGATGAAGCGATCTTCTCTGTGGGATAATACTACGAGGGTGTCGTCTCTCCGCAGAAGCTGGCATGTGGAGAAGCGCAGGCGACGACTCGTTACTCCAGCTTCCCTACGAACAGACCGGGTCGAGCTGCCTGCAGGTACTGGTCGCCCTATCCATCGACTATGGACACTTTCTGCAATTGACATAGCCGAAGGTCCTACGCATACATCATCTTCTGCTGGTTGGCAACGCCTTTCCACGTTAAGCAAGAAATATCATTGCTGAGAGCGGTTCAAGTGGAGATCCAGCATTATGCCATTCTGCTGGATAAAAACTCCGCATACCCCGCATGCGTGGAGTGCAGCAAGGCTATACTGGGCTTGATGCCTCGTATGGATTGTTGCGAGATATTTGGCTAGCTGGATTTGGCTGCTAGCCAATACAGGACAGGAATTATGGATATTGGCGTAGTGTACAGTACCTATCAAGATGGAGTCTCCATGCGGAGATCTCAAACTCCCTGCAGCTTTCCCCGCACAATCCCCCCTATCAGTGTCGCCCTTCATTAGCTGGCGATCCCCCAGAGTTCGACAGCAAATCACAAAAATGTCCATGGCACCCGTGTTCCAGGAGTCGCCTAGAAGCTGAGGGGCTGTAGCCTGTGCCAGTAGAGTGCTGAACAAGGGATTGAACTAAATAAATCTACGGCATCGTATCCCGACAGAAGTACCCGTACTTGCAACAAAAGTTCCCCACTTCCCACGCCGTGTAGTTCCGAGTATATAATTTAATTTCGATGGACCCCTGAGGGCTGAAGCCCCTTGACGCCGGACGGCTCAAGCCATATCATATTGCACATTTCGTTTCTCTGCCTGCAGTCAGGACTCAGTCGGTATCTTGTCCTCGAACAAGAGGCAAAAACAGCACATTACTATTGGTGAACTTGAACTGAACCGAGGTAAGCAGTTGTCCGGATACACTAGATTGTGAAGAGACCATAGAGTCAGTATCTTGACAAGATCAAGAATACTTAAAAAGAAACAGGAAAAGGATAAAAAAGAAAGGAAATGCCCTCCCCGCAACGCCGCTTCCAGATCAGCGCTGCTGCTCTGCTGCTTCTTTCTGCCGGCCACACGGTACGTACCGTCTACTGCCATATATTCAACATCTATATACCTGTGGACATACTTTTATTTTTCATGCAGATGGATTACTAACATGCCATTTGAAATTAAAAGGCTATAGCAAGAAAATGGATGGCCGATCCAGAGTTTAAGAACCTGCCCAAGATCGCCAAGGCGTATGCGAAGGCGGGTTGGTATCAGGTGCGTACAGTCCGTACATAGGTACTCTTGCAGATGAGATGAGATGATCTCTAACTTCAGAAAACAGGGTAGCATATTCTTTTTGATTACGGGTGAGTATCTGAGTACTGTACATATATCCTATATACCACTGCATAGCATACATAATCTTCTCATCTGACCTTTCCCTGAGCCCAAACTCCTATATATATATATACTGTATCATGACTAACCACTGGAAAATGCACACAGCACTGTTGAACTACCGCTGGTCTCGCCTCCATCCTAAAGGCCTCACCGACCGCCTCGACAAGGCCATCGCTGCCCTGAACGTCATCCTCCTGTGGGCCAGCGCGGCGTGGTACAACCGCCAGAGCATCAAGGATACGAGTGCTGCCGTGGGGATTACGGGGGCCCTGCAGGCTTGGGCGGCTTTCTTCTGAGGAAATGAAAAATAAAAAAAAGAATAAAGGATCGGATCTGAAGTTAAGGTAATAGTTAATTGGGTTTGGGAATGAGAGAATTTTTTTTGGCTCTGTCGAGTCCCTCCTTTTAGTATATTTCCTTCTGGAGTGAATGAATGTATATATTCCGAGTCACTCGTTATCAACTGCCAGATTAAAAAACCCTGGGTATAAAAGGATGATCATCAACAAAAATAATTAAAACGGAATGTGCATATTATGCTGTCATGTCGTAACCATTGACCCTGCCCAAACGCCGAAGTAATAAAGACACTTATACGCCGTAGTTCTCCCTACCGTAAGAAATATGACAATTGCTGGCTTAAGAATGACAGGTCATCAGGGCCCGCGACTACCCCTGCATGGTCTGCCAGAAGTAATTGGCGTAGAAGAAGCGCGAAAATTTCGGGTCGATGTTGACCACATGGACGTCACCCTTGCGGCTGTTGCGAATGATCGCTTTGTGATAGTTCCCGTTTTCGTCGGCTTCGACGTCAATCCCCAGCGACCGGTAAATCTTCAGACGCAGTCTGCAATGGAATGACCAGTTAGCGACCTGCAAGTCTCGAAAACCAGTATAAGCCAAACGCAGCGCATACATCGTAGCATCGTCTGCCTCTCGCTCCCTCCGCGCCGTCTCATCACCCTCCAGACCCTGCGCCTCGAGCTCTGCCAGCCTCTCCTTCAGCATCTCCAGCTCGCTTTCCAGCCTCTCGCTCTCGATCTCGAGCTCCGATGCCGCCTTCGCGATGCGAAACTTCTGCGTGTCCAGCTCGATGATCTTGGCGGCATGCTTGGCCGGGTCGTGCGCAGCGACGGTTTCTTCGTGCGATGTTTCGAGCGCCTTCAGGTTGCGGGACAGCTTGCGCAGGGCCGCCTCTGCTTCCTTGATGCGCAGCTCGCGCGACTGCTGCAGCGTCGCGAGGGATTCATTGATCCGCGTCACGGCTAGCTTGTCTGGCTGGATGTTGAAATTGCCGATGGTGTGGTGGATGAGCTGCGAGGGCGCGTCAGTTGAGGTTCTTTCTGTTTCGGATGTTTTTCCAGTTGTCCCTTCTCGTGGGAACGATCGCAAGGACGTACCGTCGCGGGATCTTCGTCGAGAAGCATTTTCAATGATAGTCTATGTCAATTCTATAGACCAAATACTTTGGCAATTAGCGTCTTGCACTGAACAGTTGATGTAGACTCGACACTTGTGAAGATTGACGAATCTCAACCCGCGGCGCGATGTTGACATGCGCCACACCACCTCCCGTTGGGCCGTTGCGGGAGCAACAGCCACAGGCTTGGCAGCATGATTGCGTCACATTGCTGGCTGTCATCCTGCACCGCCACATGTTGGTCCGCCGGCGGATTTGCAGGTCACAAGCAAAACAGCTCGAGGGAACTCGCTGCTGCTGTTCGTCTCTGGCCACTGCATTCCTGTCCACGACCATTCTGTCCGTGTTGTTCTCTTGATCCCGAGCTTCTCGTTCTCCACCTTGATTGCATTAACGTCCCGTTCGTCATGGGCTCCAACTTGCCGTGTACGTTGTCCCCGCTGATACCGCTTGATAGATCCTGCCTATCGATCAATGACAAGCCGGTGCTAATGCTGTTCTCATCTATCTACAGATGCTGCCGATGCTGAGAGGTTGGTTCTGCAGTGAATTACGTTCCAGGACGGCCATGTCGATACTGATCCCCGTCTATCCAGCCCGCTGAAGCCCGCGGAGCTCCAGGTGTTGCGTGCACAGTACGAGAAGGAGGGCGAATACGTCGGCATCCAGACAAAATTCAACTATGCATGGGTATGTCTGTTTGGTCGAGAGAGAGAGAGCGGCTGAAGACATCTTGCTGACGGTCTGATGAGGGTCTGATTAAATCCAATTCCCGGTCCGACCAGCAGGAGGGCGTCCGGCTTCTCTCGGAGATCTTCCGCAGCGCTCCTGAGCGTCGGCGCGAGTGCCTCTACTACTTGGCCCTGGGGAACTACAAGCTCGGCAACTATGGCGAGGCTCGCCGGTACAACGACCTGCTGCTCGAGCATGAGCCGGGTAACCTGCAGGCGGCCAGCTTGCGGCAGCTGATCGACGACAAAGTCGCGAAGGAGGGCATGATTGGCATTGCCATTGTGGGTGGAGTGGCTCTCGCCGCGGGCGTGGTAGGCGGTTTGCTCTTCAAGGGCGCCAGAAGACGATGAGCATGATGGTCGATCCGACTCGATTCGATTTTTGAGCTTGATATCCGGCGTAGCGTGTTGAAATACCTTTTTCCTCCACTCCGTATATACTGTTTTGTCTTGTTGAAGATGAGATTACGGCATGGGACGGCGTTTTTTTGTTTTTGTCGCTGGATATTTTGTCTACTTTCTGCAAATACAGACGTTCGCAGCTGGTGTTCCTAGCCTAATAATACCATAGGTTGTGAAGTACATTTCTGAGACACTTCAAAATGAAACATCCCAAAGATAAAGAAAAGAGAAATAAAGAGAAAGTAGCTATTTCCTAGCCCTGTCCGTACTGTGCCAGTCATTCCTGTCGATATGCCGGAGCGCAGCTCTGACAAAACACCACAACCACATCAGGGGATTCTGCCCCGTAGAAAGCACTGGCAAGGCGGCAGATTTACGAGCGCCAATCAACGCGAGGAGTGGCAGCAATATTACTGCCAGAGGAGCGCCTTGCCATGCTGGCTCTCGTGGCGATGCGCAATTGCTTCTTGGGTTGGGACGTCGGCTGCTAACGTCATCCGGACACACCCGCAACATCCACAACGGCCTCCTCCACAAGACTTCTTCCTCTGTCTTCTGTGCTTCTAGCCTCGTGCCCAACTATCTGATAGGCAGAACTCCCTTTCTGCGGCCACGACCTCCGTTTTCGATGTTTTTCACGGCCCTTGCCATGCTGAAGGAGGTCATATGTTTGTTTGACTAATATCGAGGCAATGACTTAAGGGAAATAAATACCTATCCAGCTCCCGTCTTTCACTCACAACATCGCGTTGGCCGGTTCACCGACAACAACACAGCCCTCACTCCCTATCCGCTTCTCGAGTCCACCAACATCTGCGTTGGATACTGACATCGGCGTTGGATATCCAGCGCTCCTACGTCTGCTCGATCTCTTCTTTCTCCCTCTTCCACAAACACTGCCACCCGTCCCACCACCATGCCACAACGCGAAGAGGAGGTCTTCTGCCATCTTTGTCAGTCCGTCTTCCCCAAGGCGGATTACGGACTGACATGTCCCCGCTGTGACTCGGAATTTACGGAGATTGTGAGTCACTTCTGACTTCGATTCCCGTTTGGGATTTGGAAGTGAGTCTGCCAAAGAGCTAACACTGATGTCTTACAGATCGAGCCAAATTCAGAGCACCCCGCTGCAGTTCACCAGACCGAGCCAGAGCCAGAACCATCGAGTCCCCCACGGCAGTCACGGCAGTCACGACAGTCGCCACGACGAGAGGCGTCTCGATCTCCGGCTAGCTCACTCCATGACCATCACCCCTGGGCGGAGATGGGCGCCGAGATACGTGAGTTCGGCAACGGTGGTGGCTTCAGAAGCCAGTCCTACCGCTCCCCAGACGGACGCTTCACCTTCACCAGCACAACCTTCTCCACTGGGATGCCCCCGCGGCGAATGCGAGGGGGATTTCCGGACGTATTTCCCCAGGATGATGCTTTCATGCGTACCTTCAACAGCATTTTCCAGAGCCTAGCGGGGACGCAGTTCGATAACGGACGTAGAGACAGAGACAGGGATCCTTTGCGCGCAGACGATCTCCACCCGCCTTGGACTGCTGATGAGCATGGTGATCGAGACCGTCCCAGAAATCCGCTACATGGAGGGTTATGGCCGAGAGATGCAGACAACCCGCAACCGATGGTACATCCGCTTGAGAGTATAAATGAGTAAGTTTCCCCCGTCCAGCGTTTATAAAATCATATGCTGACGCAAACAGCATCCTCAACATGTTCCAGACAGAGTTCCCATTTGACAGACACGGACAGGCCGACAGACCAATGGGTAGAGGCGGCATCCGCATCATGGAAGGCAATCCGCTGTCTATCATCGCCAGTATACTGGGTGGGGGTCGCCATGGCGATGCCGTCTACTCACAGGAAGAGCTAGATCGGGTGATTTCGCAACTGATCGACCAGAACATGAATGGGAATGGGGCACCGCCTGCCTCACAGAGTGCAATCCAAGCCCTACCCAAGAAGAAGGTCGATCGGGAGATGCTAGGGCCAGAGGGCAAGGCAGAGTGCTCCATCTGCATGGATTCGGTGGAGTTGGGCACCGAAGTCGCAGTACTTCCGTGCAAGCACTGGTTCCACTTTGGATGCATTGAGATGTGGCTGAATCAGCACAATACCTGCCCTCACTGCAGGCGTGGCATCAATAATACACCTCAGTAAGCAAACGGCGCCACTGCCTCCAAGCCCTGCCATCAGTGCCGAAGTCGCTGATGGCCGAATGTTTCATTTTCACAGAGAGAATGCCCCTGGCACGAGAGAAAATCCCCTGATAATTCCTAGCAGTCCGGAGCCTCCAACTCCTCCGCGGCGGCGTTCTTCTGGTACTGAGCATCATCATCACCAATATAGCTACCATCCTTACCATAGCCATCGTCATAACAACGGCAATGGATCTTCCGAGAGTCGGCGTGGGTCTGCATCTAACCACACCCCCAGTTCGGAGGAGCGAAGGCGTTCAACCCGGACTGAAGGACGTGGAGGCTTCAGCGGCTGGGTCAGGAGTCGTTTTGGCGGAAGTTAAGTCAGCAGTCAGAGTCGACGGAATACAACCTCACTCGAGGAAATTTATGTCGCTGAAACTTTCCACCAGGATATGACGCAGTCATCCATTGGATATGTTCATACTGCGGACATTTGCATAGATGGGGATAGGACTGGACTGGACTGGACTGAACTGAACTTTCAAGGACTTTTTTTTCATCCAAGTACAGGGGCGTTACATTTTGGGTTTGTTGTTTGCCTCTTTTTCCTTTTTTTCTTTTCAACTTGTGACAAGTGTGATTTACAGAGGTTGATTCTTTACTCACCCATTTGGGATGGTACTATACTGGTACAGTACATCATCAGTACATCTGACCTATGAGAGACGAACAGTATGTGGTTCGCAATGTCGGCCACTTTTTATATTCTTTTTTTTCTTCTCTTGTTTCTGTTTCTTTTCACTTTGTTTTCTTGTTTCTTCGTGGGTTTTTTTTTCTCTCCTGTCATTTTCCATACTCTTGTAATTTCTTTTTTTTTGTTCATCGAGGTCAGGACACACCTTGTTACCTCGTTTATTTATTTATTTAAAACTTTGATGATGAACAAACAATCAAACCAAACAATTGTCCTGCCCTGCATGCATGTATATGTGTATGTATGTATGTTTGTATTTCCAGAGTGACAGAGTCCCAGAATAAATAATTAAAATAAATAAATAAATAAAGAATAAATACCCTCATCCTCATCTAGATCATATATCATCAATCCTATCACAGTCATCAAATCGGATTAGAATCAATCGATGCTCTTCAGCGAACCTAGAAAGTCAAGTGTATTGTGTAGATGTTTTCACAGAGGTAGCTGATAGTTAAAAGACTAGGGGTACCGTACTCTGCAGAAATTATCAATCAATCAGTCAGTCAGTTAGCTAGCTAGCTAGTTGATCAACGAGTCGATCTAACTATCGATCAAATTCAATCAATTGTGTCTTCCTGCTTACTTGCTTGCTCGTTCGTCGTCCCTATCAGGTATCTCTAGGTCCACTACTCACCAGTATGGAGCTCCAAACATAGTAAATAAAATAGTAGCCATCTACCTGACCAAATTAACCAATAAATATTACATCATTTACATGTACATACTGCACATTATATATATCGTGATCACTACCTTAGGTAGGCCCTACAGAATACCAAAAGAGGATCGTTTCCGTGGATTGCGATTCAAATTGCAATTCAAATGTCGAAGAGGGGGTGGGAATGAAGTCCAGATAGATAAAGTGAGATAAATGCTCAAGAAAGAGGACTCGACTTCGTAGCTAGTTCCTTTCTTCAAGCAAAAAGTGTCTGGTCTTACTGCATCATCATCATCATCATCATCATCATCATCATCATCATCATCATCATCATCATCATCATCATCATCATCATCATAAAAAAAACTGGCAGTGAACTGAGGAGCGACACATCAGCCCACTCGACTTCCAATCAATCCGTCAAGGGAAGCTTTCCCCTGCCGCTACTCTCCACGACACGACAGATCGAGGCGGATGGACCGCCCGGATTGTTGAATCGTGTATGTATTGGCTCTCGAGGAGCGACATAGGTCAGGTACCTAGTGACAGGGCGCGTCTAGGCAGTGCTCTTCTGGCGGTTCCCACTACTTGTTTCCATATAATCTCGTCGTCTTACGACGAAGAGCCTCAACTTGCTATCTATATTATGCAATACCGCAATTGCATCACAAAGAAGCATTGAGCCTGCATAGTAATAATAAGTAATTAAACCTAATTGATTAGGACATCTTGCTTATGATTGATCCATGGGTGGATCAAGGTAGGCTTGTTGTTTCTACCTGCTACCTAATCTAGGTTATTCTCCATTCATTGTTCTCCTGCTGAATTGTTCTTAGCTATCAGCTTATTATATATCTATCTACTTTCACTTTTTTTTACAATTTCTTGTTTTTTTCTTTTTTAATGATTAGAACAATGCTATCGATACGATAGATATGACGAAATCACCAGTCCAGGACCAGTCTACTGTGGATGATGAATTAATCAAATTGCTGCTGCTGCTGTCAGCTTCAGCTTTCAACAAAACAAACCAAATGCCATCAAATGCCATCTCTTGATATTATTATTATTGGTTCAATTCAGTCGTCTTAGGGGAAATAAATTGAGGAGATTTTTTTTCCTTTCCAAACTGAAAGAAGAAAGAAGATCATGATGATGATGATGACTAATTACTCTGGCATTGCTTGGAAGATTTCCGATGATGGCAAGAACGAACTGATTCCAGTTTCAGCTGGACTCTGTGAGTTTATCTATCTACATATAAGCTGAAAAGGAAAAAAAAGAATTAGTCTGGACCAACAGAATTTTTAGATGTGGCACTAGATAGACTCTCAGCTGACTTTGATACTGACCAAAATAAATAAATGCCTTGTCCAGGATAGGTACGTATTGAACGAATCCTGATCGATTGCGTACATACTTTCAGAACAAGACTTGTCACAACCTAAACAGGGTCGGGCTAGAGATAAAAAAGAAGAAATTTTTCACACCAGACGTCCACTTGGAGCTTGAGAATCTCATGCAGATTAAGAAGAAGAAGCAGCAGCAGCAGCAGCACCATCTTCTTCGAAGCACAGCCGATTACTGACTGTTGCTGGTATGATGACATGACAAGGTTGATTATTGAGCATGCAGCTACAAACCTGGCGGTTGGTGGTGATTGTCAGAGCTAGGAGGAACACGGAGATAAATTTCCTAATGTCTTGGCTTTATGGGGGAGAATAGCTAGTTCTATTGCAAAGAAAAGGGACCATTCTGACTGTATTGTATTATTATTATAGGTATCGTATGTACACACTATCCAGAAACAAAAACAAAGAGCAGCAAAGGGAAGATACTGTTGTGTACGGCTTGGTGGTCTCTGATGGCTTTCTTTTCTTTTCCAATTTCTCTGAATCAGCAATGATTCGAAGATAAGTAAGCTCTATAATTATATGCAAAAAAAAGCATCAAGTACTAATACGATGTGTACTGTCCTTGCTAATAAAAATTAAGTATACAATATGGCCTGCCGCAAAGTGGGAAGTCGATGATGATGGGTATGCAACAAGGGAGATCTACTCTGTATTCATCTACTACAAAGCGCGGTCAGTAGTCCTTTTGAATTGAGAAAGGGGCCAGGAGGAGACCGTGCTCCGGAATATAGAGTGCATGTTGGAGTTATCTGTGACGAGGACGAGGATGAGTATGAGTATGATGACTAGCTTGCTCTTCAACATACTTAGTATCAAAATAGAGAATTATTCCTTAGGCCTCTTACATATCACTTCAAATCACATTTGGAGGTGGCACGGAGAATGTGATTTGCTGTTAATCTATACAAGTGGCTAATGAGGAGCTGTCTTCGGCATCATCCTCTGTAGAGGACCCAATACGCACTCTGTAAACTGGAGTACCTTGAGTTGAGCTCAAATCTTTGACCTTTCTTTTATTCCCAGAAGCCGTTGCTGCAGCCGCATGTCGGAGGATGTGGCGTAGGTGAGTATATATCCGCTGGGACGGGAGACCTTCAGTCCACATTGGCATTTGGAAGATTGAATACTGGATTCAATGAATAAATATGCCTTGCACAAGATAATAAAATCTACATGTGAGGTGAGGAAGAACCTTACCTTGTCGCTGTTGTCAATTCTGAGGAAAGTAAAGATAAACCCGTCAGACACACAACCATACACAACAGTATCAAGCCTGTTTTCCATCTTCCGGACGTGGTGGATCATGGCTTTCAAGTGATTAGTTGAATCATCACTTTATACTTGCTTTGACATCGAATAACATACCCATGTATCCAAGGCATTGAGCCTCACCCTCGCTCATCCCGTTGCGACCTTTTGCCTCAATGACAACGAGATTTGTTGCCATAGGATCAGTCCTGTCATACCAACATCAATAATCAGTTCTTCCTTGGAGCAGTATCGGCTGATCCTCCATTTCCATCTCTAGCTCCATATGCGTTTCGGCCGTGAAGTTTAAGTGTTTCTGATCGTTCCCTAGCTCCTGCTGCTGCTTGTCGCATAACCTCTGCTTCTGCTGCGAGATAAATTCGCGTTCTGACAGAATACAGTCGATCATTATCTGATTAAGACGCATGCGACCAGCGAGTTCGTTTAAGTAGTCTTTTCCAGTGGCAACTGAAATTCTTTGTAGCTCATTCTCTAAGACTCGTTAGTAGCACAGATAGAAAGAAAGCAATTGTAATCGTAAAATAACTGAATAGAAGGGAAATGAAGCACTAAAGAGAGGGAGATGAAGAAACAAACTCACTGAGCCCAGATGGAACTGGAATCAACTCCTCACATGGAAGTTCCCAAATCGGAGTATAGTTCTCCTCCAACACTAGATTGAACATTTTCACAATTTGCCGTATATCAAGGGAGGAAACAGCGAGTGTTTCTCTTGGCGGTATGAGAGATGACAACATGTCAACGACCTCATCTGGTTCAAACGGGGCGTTTGTGGTCTGGGTCTTGTCCATAAGTTTTTCGATGATACCTGTTAAGGAGTTGTATTTCTTGTCCATCATGTTTTTTCAACTTGAATGTCTGGTAGAAATAAAAAAATACAAGAGGAAAAAGGAACGGAGGATACTTAAAATGACAAAGAGTAAGTCAAAGAGGAGTTGTTGAAGGCAGGCTGAGTGTGAGGGAAAGGAAAGTAAATATCAAAACTCCGCTTCACTAAAGAAGAAAAGTGACAAGATCGAGTCAAGGTGCATTAAATGTGAGGAGAAAGAAAGAGTGACAGTATGTGAGAGTGGAAGTTGTATCTGTGCCTGGGAGGGCAGGCAGCAGATCCCCAGTTAGGCTTAGCACTTTCAGATATTCTGCAGAGAGGTGCTGACTAATGCTTATACGTATTTCTATTATAATAGAGGAGATTAAATAGATGTTTTAAAAGACTGAGGTAGCTGATATTTAAAAGAGTATACCAGGGGTACTATACCATGTTGAGACCAATCAATCAATCAATCAATCATTCATTCATTCATTCATTCGTTTATTTAAGCTAGCTAGATAGTTTAGAAACAAGTCGATCTAATAATAACTATCGAAAAATTCACTCAATTGTGTCTTCTTTCCTTCCTTGCTTGCTTGCTATTGTCAGTATCACTGTCAATGTCTAGGTCCACAACTCTCCAGTATCTCCAAACATAATACCACCAAGAAGCTTCATTACTATATATACACTGATATCTCGTTATCACATCACAATTTCGTTTCTCCTCCAAACTCACGCCTCCCCACCCTCTCACACACCTCCTTGAGTATCTGCGCCAGCCACTCAAAATCGCTCCGCTGGAGGTAGATCTGCGCGCTCACGCGCGTCCAGAGGTATCCCCCGTACTGGATCACCGGTACTGTGGTGTTGTGGCGGTTGATCAGGATGGATTGCATCCAGTCTATTGCGGCGGAAGCTTCGGTTGGGGAGAGGGGTGGGTATGGGGAGTTCTTGTTGTTGTTCTTGTCTGTCTGGGTGGTGCTGTCGTCATAGTACGCCAGCGGCAATCGTATACTCGCCATCGCGCAGCGGCGGAGTTGGCCGACCTCCCCCAGATTCAGGTCTGGCTCCTCAAGAACCTCCGTCCCCAGCGTCGCGGCGATGATGTCGCCCGCCTCTCGCGCCAGCGACTCCAGGTACGCGTAGATACGGTCCTCGCCGCCGCAGACCTCCTGGCGGAAGCGGAGGGCGGCAGGAACGGTGAAATAGGCTGCGTCGTCCGTCGTCGCAGTCCGCTCGAAGAGGAGCTCGAAGGCGCTCTTGTCGCCGACCACGGGCGTCAGCGGTTGATGGGCGTCTGGGGAGCTGGGGGCGGGGATGAATCCCCATGAGGTTGGGAGCGTGGTGCGCAGCAGATGCTGGTTGCGCAGAGGGACGTAGAGGACGGCGCAGCCACGGGGGGTGTAGAGCCATCTGTCAATCATTGCAAGTTATATACCAGCCATACCATCAATTCGAGCAGTCGTGTTACATTCTAGCCAATATGTAGCTAGCTGAAGGATGACTTACTTGTGACAGTTACTGACAAAGAAATCCGGCTGCAACGTGCCCAAGTCCAACGGGATTTGGCCAATGGCATGGGCACCATCGATCACACTCAGGATGCCCTCCTGCCTGCACGCCTCGGCCAGCCGCTCAAAAGGGAACCGTACGGCGGGCTGGCTGACGATAGTGTCAAAGACAGCCACGCGGACGTTCAGCCCATCGGCCTTGGCCTGGGCCACCACGGCCTGGAACCGCTTGACGAGCTCATCGTGGCTGACGGGGAGCTGGTACTGGACCTTGACGGCGCGGACAGGGGTCGTCTCGCAGAGATGGACGATGGCGTTTTCGATAGCACCATAGATGGTCGCGAAGTAAACGATTACGTCGCCTTCGCTGAACACCAGGTTCCGGAGGACGGTGTTGACGCCCGTCGTGGCGTTGCGGACAAAGACGCACTCTTTCGAGGACGCCTTGAGGAGCCTGGCGACGGCCTCGCGGGCCTTGTCCAGCAGAATGGGACGATCCCGACGGATGAACACGTCGGGGTACGCTTCAGCTTCGTCCTGGAATCGGCGCAACTCATTCTGGACGAAACGGGGATATGTACCAAAGGAGCCTAAGACGGCTAGTTAGCATGAAGACAATGGATATACATGCGTATCTACGCATATATATGCAGAGATATACAGACGCACCGTGATTGAGATTCTTGTACCCGCCCGCAAAGAGGAAATGCTTCAGCATGGGAGCTCCAAACGGAGTCAATTGCAGACTGGGAGTCTCGGATGACGCCATGGCGGGGAAGCTGTCTTTTATCTATATCAATCAGTAACACATGGAGGATAAAACAAGTCAAGTTCTATAAAGTACAATTTGGGGATAGATTCAACAGAAATATCCAATGACTCTCAATGAGTTCTGAAGGGGAGAAATGAAAGAAAAAAAGGATGGTTCCCTTCTAGGAAGCACGAAGCTGACGTGAAGCACGCTGACAGATAAGATTAACAAACAACCCTAAGCAATTCAATCTATATCCTAAGAAACAGAAAAAAGAAGTTCAGTGAGATAGCAGGAGAATACAAGAGCCTATATATACATACCTTCCTAAATCGAAAGCAATTACCTTTCTCACTAATTCATGTGATTCTATTTCCTCTCCCCGCGCCTCGCTCGTATTCATCTCCATCCCGTCGAGTCACTGCCATTGGCATGACAAATTTGACGGCTGCACTTAACTTTAACAGCTACCTACCTACCTAGGTAGGCATCTAGCTGCCTAGACTAATCGAACTTTGGTTCAATTAAACTCGATCGATTGGATGACAATATTGATTCGAATCAGCCACAACAGCACGGCACTCTGTCTGGAATCTGGCCGAAATTACTACTCAGAATCGTATATTAGCCTTTTTTTATCCCGACGATGGTACTGTTCTGAGCGCCACTGTCGAAACCAAAGAGACATGTCTGTAGCACGGAATACCAACAATGATATCGACAGGAATCAGGAGGCCATCAATGGGCAATACCAACTCTTATGTATACTACTACCTCCGTAGAAATTCTCCTACCGGTTGTCTTCTGCACTTCTTTCAATTCAAGAGGACCTCTTGTAGACTTGTCTTTGTAATGTACATCAAAGCGAAGACGATTACTCAAAACAGACTACTGGTTGTATCCATACCATCGCGTACATTGGTCTTCTCCTCGTCACATCATGATGATTCCAAGAACTGGCGCTGGCGCTGGCGCTGGCGCTTCCTACCCAACATTCCAGAATCTATCGCTAATCAATTCACCGCTTGCCCTTCTTCTTGGCAGCCACCACCTTGAAAGCGGCATTGCTGTTATCATCCTCCCGATGCGCGTGGTTGGACCCCTTCTTCGCGACCTCGCTCCATCCGCCAGACGAATTCTTCTGGTCACCAAACGCGCTCGTGTTGACCGGGTCCACAATGCCCTTGTCGGCCAGCTTGCGACGCCGAATAAACTCTTCCGCAAACCGTCGTCCATCCAGAGTCTGGGAGTTGGCATACACAGAGTCCGAGATGATCTCCGTTTCCGCCGGCAAGAGAAGAAGCTGCTGAACGAAATCATCCACTGCAGAGTTCATCGTCAGTTCCAATCCCTGCGAAAAATTTCTTTTTTCATTGGAGGTACTTACCATTGATGTTGCTGTTGAGTCCCCTGCCGAGAGACATCTTAGCCCACTTGACCAACTCCTCCGTGGCCCGGTTGGGATTCGCTGCTGGAGTGGTGTTGTTGGCGGTAACAGTCCGCGCCGGTGCCGCCGCTGGTTTCGACTTGGCTGTCTGGGGCGCAGAGACGGTGGCAGCGGTCGAACGAGGTCCGGCAGGAGCAGCAGGCGGTGGCTTGGGTTTCCCTCCAGCACCAACAGTCGTCCAGGCACCACCACCGGAAGAAGTGTTGTTAGATGCAGGTGCAGGCTGTGCTGCCGCCTTACTGGCGAGATCCGCATAACGTTTACCGGCAGCTACAGTGGCCGTGTTGGCGTTGGCCTGTTGTGCAGCATTCTGCGCAGCCAGACGCTGCTTGCGTGCCTCTTCTTCCTTTTGGATCTGCGCAAGGGTCTTCTTCGCAGGCTGGTTGGCGGCTGCACCTTTAGCACCGGCGGCAGACTTGGACCACACGTTGGAACCATTCGATCCAGGAGTCGCAGGAGATCCCGCACTAGCCCAGTTTGCAGTCGAAGGCAGTGCTGGAGATGATGACGCTTGCTGTGCCTGGCTGATGCGCTCCTGTTCCGCGAGAAGCTGAGCTCGACGGGCTGCGGCGGCCATTTCTTCTCGCTGGGCAGCGCTGCGGGCCTCGGCCTCTTGGATCTCTTTCAGAGAGGGTCCCTTAGGCGCTTCACTGGCATCCTTCGCCCACGGGGCAATCGACGTTGTCGGCGCCTCCACGGGTGTGTGGTTCTGGAACCGCGAGCTTGCAGCCAGAGCATCTGCCACGTTCTGTTGTTTGCGCTGAGCGGCTGGAGCTGGGAGCGGCGATGCAGACGGAGCTGGAGGGTGAGGCTGAGAAACACCGCTATCACTCTGCGCTTGTTTCTGTTGCTGCTGTCCTGCTGCTGCTGCTGCTGCTGCTGCTGCTGTTGTTGTTGCTGTTGCTGCTGTTGCTGCTGCTGCTGCTTCTGGGCTGAAGCGGCCTTTTGAACTTGCTGTGAGAGGGAAAGAGGTTGTTCCTCGTTGGTCGTAGGGGTAGTTTCAGTCTCTTTCTTTTGAGCAGTATCGTCTTGAGGTGCTTTCGCCTGCTCGTCTTGTTGGGCAGCAGTAGTCGTCGGGTGAGTAGGGAGACCATCAACGCTTCGCAGTATTTCCCCGTCTTGGGCCCGGAGGGCATGAAATTCCCGGAGTCGCTCTTCCCGAGCCTGCTGGTCGAAGACGTCATCCGCATGCGCCTTGTCGTACTGCTCTTGTTCCTGCTGAAGACGAGCCCGGTCTTGTAACATTTGCGCAACCTGTTGAGAATGCAAGTCCTGCTGACGAGCGCCAAATGACGCTGGAGCGTCGAAAGGGTAGGGGCCAGGACGGCTCACGTTCAGACGGTCAAGCAATGCCGGAAGTTCGTTTTGAGAGCCCATTGGGTCCGTGCCGAGCATTTGTGGACCAAGACCAGGGAGGGTGGTCTGTCCGAAGTAGTTCGGCATGGCCTGGGGCGGCTGGATGGGGCCCTGGATCGGCGAAGGCTGATACCCTCCCGGCGAGGTGATGCTTCCGTAGCTAGGCTGGCTGTGCAGGCTGTGTGTGCTGGAATGATGTTGAAGCTGATGGGGATACATTCCGTGAGGTCCTCCTTGCAGTTGCATCTGTTTCAACATGGCCTGCTGCTGCGCGAAATGCTCCTTCTGTCTGGCCATCATATACTGCTCCTCTTGCTTCCTCCTCTCCAGAGCATTCTGCTGTTCCGCAGTCAGGGTCGTTCCAAAAGTAGGGAAGCTGTTCGCAAATGGCGGCTGGGCCGTTCCAGGTTGCGAACCCCAAGGACCCGACGGAGTAGGGTCAGGGCCGTAGGGAATCCCGATTTGAGGCACGAGGAAGGGCTCACGCGAGTTTCCGATGCGACGAACAAGTTGCGCCAGCGGTTCAAATTCGGGGTCTTCCAGTCTCTTGACCAGTAGATCGGGGGTAAAGAAGCCAGCCTTGAACCAGTCATGCATTTCCAAGCCCGACCAGGGTCCCTGGATGTTGCCTTGAGGGTCTTTGTAGATCCAGCGCATTCGATCCGGCATAACCATAGTCCGTTGCTGGGAAGCTGGCATGTTGTTGATAGAGTTTCCAGCCGTTTGAGTCTGGGCGGATTGAGACTCCCCCGACGTCGCGATGGGTGTCTGCACACCGCTGGCGGCTGAAGTGCTCGGCACCTGCGTTGACAAGGTGGTTGACGGCGGATTAATTTGATTCGACGTATCTGTAAGAGAGGTCTCACGCGTTAGCCCGCTAACATCGTCAGCGTCAATGGTAGTCTTACCCGGTTGCCTGTCGCCCGAGTCCTGGCGTGCCTGTTCACCCTGCATCTGTTCCTGCATCGCAGGAGGGAAAAGAGAGCCCATTTTGCTGGCTCTGCCAATGCTACCGGAGCCGCTAAGAGTCGTCTGTGGACCGAAAAAGCCGCCTCCGCCCAAAGTCGACAAACTTGGCGACTGTATTTCACCCATGGAGCCAAAGATGGGATCCCCAAAGCCGGAGAATGCCTGTCGCTCTCTGGTAGGTGTACCAATGGGTCCACTAGACGGCCATCCGCCCGCACCCCCCAGACCGGACATGCCACCAAGTCCACCGAGACCGGAGAAGCTTCTACCTGGACCTGCGCTGGATGTTTGGCTGCGATCGCCAGCTGAGAGGTCTAAACCGGACCCGGCTCGTCGGATGGTGCTAAACGGAGCAGTGCTCGAATCATTTTGTAGGTCACTGAGCCCGGGAAGACGAGTGCGCTGAACTTCCGAGCCGTCAGTCTCCACAGAATCGACGTCTGCTTTCTCACCGCGCGGGCTCTGGTAGGGATTGGTGTTTGTCGGACTAGTTGGCTCTAACCCATGGACCTGGGAGGAAGAGTCGTGGGAATTGTCGCGCGTCTGCAGTAACTCTCGCAATCCGGGGACACCAGAGTTCGCGCCGAACGCGGAGAAGCCAAGCTGATCGACCCCTTGAGACGACGTCCCGAGTTCCTGCGAGCCACCGAGCGCAGCACTGCCACTGCGAGGCTCTTCTCCAAACGGGTTTGTCTCGCTGCGAGTAGTCCGAGTCTTGACAGGCTCACCCCAGGGCGACTGTGAGCGACTACCACCTTCATTTTCCGAAAGCTTCTCGATGTTCTGTTGGGAAGGCTTCTCTTTCCCTGATGCATCGACATCTTCGGAACTATCCTTAGATAGAAGACCCTTGAATCTGCTTTCACCACGTATACTACCGAACCCAGGTCTTTTCTCCGCCGACGAAGTTGTCTGAGCATTGGTAGGACCCAGCGAGAAGCTGCCGAAAGCTCCCATTGGTGAAAAGCTTGCACTCTGGGATGCCGAAGGCCACGGTGAAGTCGGTCCGGTCAGTCCTGCGCTCAAGGGATTTGTGGAGGTGCGCTTCAGAGAACCGAACGGTGATGATATCTCCGAGGCATTCTCCCGACCGGTGCCCTCCTTCGCCTTATCTTTATCATCCGGTTTAGCATTCGAGCTCGAGTCGCGAAAGTCCGTCTTACGGCGCAGAAGGGAGGGAGGCGGAGTCGTCGTGTTTGGCTCGTCTCGGAAAAACCGAGATCCGCCTCTAGTTGGAGACATAGAATTCCCTGCTGAATCGTTGGTCTCCCGACGCCGAGTGCCAGGTCTGCCGGAACTTGGTGATGATATATTGTAGGAGTTGGAGTGCGAGACAGAGGTTTTACGTCCGCCTGCACCACCACCAGCGTTATCTTTAGACGCGCTGGAGGGCGGTGGCTTCAGAGGGGAGTTGACCGTCGTGGAAAAGAGCTGCGTCTTCATTTAGCACTGTCGGCCTTGATTATCGGGGCGGGGGACAGAAATTCGTACCTCTTTCTCATCATCATTCATATCAATCAGCCCCAACGGTTCGAACTGACCCTCGTGGTCCCAACACACCTCCGGCCCCACAGGTGTGTCTTTGTGGTCCTCCCGTTTCCCCCAAGCACCGTTTACAGATGGAGTCTCCTCGAGCGGGTTCCAATCTGCTACAAATAACTCCTCCACATTCTTCCCCAAGGTGCCTGCTTCTCGCTGGCTCTTGTAGATATTTAGAAGCTGTTCCTTCGAATACCGACTATCGCCAGTGGAGCCATTGCGGGACTGGGAGTTAAGGTGAGGAGGAATGTATGCGGCGGAGGTAGGAGTAGAAGTAGATGCAGACGTTGCTTGGTTGGAGTCACGGTTGTGGGACGTATTCGTAGCAAGCGACGGACGCCGGAAGGTCTGCGTAGCTCCGTTCATGCGAGATCGAGTCCTTTTTTGCAGAGTTGGGTCGCCCGTCAGTTGATGCTAAACTAGGCTGTACAAGAGCACAAGGGAATGAAAGAGCAAAAGGCAAAAATCAAAGTAGTATAAGCTCCCATTTCCTCTAAGAAGTGCAGCGAGTGCAACGTCTAGCGCAGAAATGGAATGCTAGCAACGAAGGGTTTGTTTCCTACCATTCTCCGCTACTACCGCCATCTTTCCTGCTTGAATCTTGGGTATTGCCAGCAGCGGCAGAGGCAAAACTGGAGGGTAGTGGTGAAGGCATTGTGTTCTCTGACGGCTAACAGGGTATACACCAGTCCAGAGAAGCAGCGAAAATAAAAAGATCGAGCGAGCCTCGGGGGCAGGCCGTTCTTCTTCGTGGCGGCAAGGGAAGCGCGAAAAAAAGAGAGGCTAGATCGAACACACGGCACAACAGAATAATAGGCCGTGGTAAAGAAATCGCTGGATGAGAAGGGCCAACGCTGTGAATGGCAGCACGTAACGAGGAGTATCGTCAACAAAGGTGGGAGACGACGTGGGGAGCAAGGATAGGATCGAAGAAACACCAGACGAACAACGTCGAGATCAGAAGATCGAGATTGAAAGTTCCTGGCAGGTCAGAAAAAGGGTCGTAGCGAATGACGGGCCGGCCGTGGAAATACCACACGCACACAACGCACATCATAAAAATGTTCGCGGCCGAGCCAACCACCGGCAGGCTTGCCCGCCCTGCGGAGTACGCGAAGAGCAGCAGCGGCGACTAAAAGTATGGAGAACGCAGTCACTATTCCCAGTCAGGGAGGACAACATGGACACGGTCCTTTGGCCGTGTTTACGTTGGAAATCGAGCTGTCAACAGTGCGTAAAATTTTCGTCTCGCTGTGTCGTGACGATAACATAGCAACAGGGTTGCCTACCCGCGTATCTAGGGCGACGGCCTGTGCGTGGCAATAAGAGAAAGAGCCCTCTCCACTATCGCCACAGTTTCCCTGCAAAGTTTACAAACGCGCCGCCCTTCGACGTGTCACACAACAGTCCACTGCCAGTATGACACGGTTTGTCCTGATTTATTATGCCCTTACGTCGATATATGCCTAGATCTAGATCCAGGATGGGTATCAGATATGCGACATGCACGAGCACCTGTAAGTAAATCTAGTATTGAAATTATACCGCCGTCGCGAACCTTGATAGCGCCCTTTATAAGGACCTCCCTACATTACTCCGTATAATAAGCAATACTTGACAAAAGCAATATCTTGACAAATAGCTACGCCTACTTTACTGGTAGCTTGGGTTCTGAAATTATCTTAACTACGTGACGGGAGCATTGCAGCTCCTGTCAAAAGAGGCAAACAGGATCTCCTACCTAGACGTCCCGTGCCCAATGTCTTCTCTTTGTTTGCATCCAGGATACGCTACAGTCAATGTTGCCATAGCCACACTAGTCCATCTCATGTCATCTGTTCACTGTGTCTGTTGACGACAAATAATTAGCCATGTTGCTATGAGCTGCAGACTCGAATAAATGACGATACTGCAAGTCGCACTCACCGTCTTCTGAGTTTAGACGATCCCTTCAATTTGTTCATGCCGAATTTCTGACGACTATAAGATAGATAGGTACCTTTGAGTGAGTGTCACCAATAATGTCAACGAGTAGTTCCTCTGTCAGAGAATGAGAGACTATCTTCTGGCGTCAACTTCCACTGGAACACCCATGCGCAGCAACCAACCGATTTGAATAAGACACCCACTAGAGCATAAGAGAACTTTCAGTCATGTTGTCTTTTCCGTGGCAATGGTTACCTGCTTTCAAGAGGCTCGTCCTGGCAGCTTCCGGTATATACACACAACCAGCAGGACAGCAGTGAATCTCGTCGCCTATCTATGTTTGGAGTAGACACTACCACAACCCAGGTTGCGATAACGACTACGATGGCAATGGTGAAATGAGGACGATACTCGAAGCTCTTGTCCATCTTCTGAAAAAACACATTTTTTCCCTTCAAGTGAGCATCACGAAGACGGCAGAAAAATGGGATTCCCATAATCCTACGATTGAGATCATTCATTGATAGATAGGTTCGGTACTGGACCGAATTGACTCTGAAGCATCTCCCAGAATCTACCCTCAACGGGTCCTAGGATCTGTCCACGTTCCTGTTCCTCCGCTTTTCCTCCGCTTGGATAGATAGCCCTATGCACGCTCTCTGGGGATGTTTCAGCTTATATAAGTATCTAAGAGTATTTCCACCAGTCCGAGCCATCTCCACCAACAACCGACAACCTCGGATCGCACAGCTCTCACTTGATAACCCCGTATACCCCGTATCAACGGTCTAGACGTCCTTCGTGGAGCCAGGTGGACTTCCTCAGATTCGAGTCCGTTGACCTGGCCCTTAACTATATCGAACTATACAGTATAGAGCTGTGCGGTTCCACGGTCGGCCGGGTCTCCGTCCCTCGGTTTGAGTAACTCAGCCGGCACGATTTGACAATTGCGGGGTTGAGCTTGGTTGTAGCAACAATAATAGCTTCGAGCTTGCCATCACTCTGTTTTATGCATTTCCATTGATTTCTTGCAGCAGAGCAGAAGATACGCTCTTGCAAGATACACGTTCAGTTTTATTAATAAATACTACACTAATTTATATACCTCAACGAGGCAGTTGGAACTGCGGAGCTCTACTCTCTACTCCGCACACGAGGGGCAGACCACATCATCTTGCTCACGAGTCTACGATTCCACCAACCCCTGAATAACACATACGACAGATTTTCCTCCTAGACACCATGCCCAAGGCCATCTTTCTCGAACCCATCGACGGCAAGCCCGGCAAGCCCGGGCAAGTCTACTACCCACTCGTCCAGCGTCCCGTGCCGCAGCCGACCCCGCAAGGACGAGAACTGCTGATCAAACTGACGGCCGCGTCATTGAACCATCGCGACCTCTTCCTGCGACAACACCTCTACCCCGGAGTCACCTTCGACGTCCCTCTCGGCGCAGACGGCGTGGGCACCGTCGTGGCCGTCGGCCCAGACGTCCCCAACCCGCAGCAATGGCAGGGCAAGCGCGTCATCCTGAACCCGGGCACCGGATGGAAGGACGACCCTGACGGCCCCGAGGACCCGACCGGGTACAAGATCCTGGGCGGCACCAAAGTCTACCACAAGGGCACCCTGCAGGAGTTCGTCACGATCGACGAGTCTGAGGTCGAGGAGGCGCCGGCCCACCTTTCCGACGCCGAGGCCGCTGCCCTGCCGCTGACGGGTCTGACCGGGTGGAGGGCTCTGATCAACAAGGCTGGAGAGAAAAACTCAGGAAAAGGCGCCGCGGTGCTGATTACCGGCATTGGCGGCGGTGTTGCTCTAATGGTGCTGCGGTTTGCGGTGGCCCGGGGCGCGGACGTTTTCGTCACCAGCTCGAGCGAGGAGAAGATTCAGAAAGCCATCGAATTAGGTGCCAAGGGAGGTGTCAACTACAAGGAAGAGGGCTGGGAGAAGAAGCTGCTGGGGCTGCTCCCGGCTGGAAAGAAGTCCTTTGATGCCATCATCGATGGGGCCGGTGGAGATATCGTCGAGAAAGGAACCAAGTTGCTTAAAGTGAGTAACAACCCTTGATCATACTCTAGCCATCTTTCGATGCACCGAGGGAACTTCCTTGCTAACGATTTCAAGGCTGGCGGTGTGATCTCCGTCTATGGAATGACGGTCGCGCCCAAGATGCCGTTCCTGATGCAGGCCGTGCTGAAGAACATCGATGTCCGGGGCTCGACGATGGGCTCGCGCAAGGAGTTCAAGGACATGGTCGAGTTTGTCAAGAAGCATCAGATCCGCCCCGTCGTGTCGCGCGTGCTGCAGGCCGACCTCGACGACATTGCCAGTATCGACGGCCTGTTCGAGGACATGAAGGCGGGCAGGCAGTTTGGGAAATTGGTCATTGAGTTTGGCAAGGGTGGCGAAAGTAAGTTGTGAGCGGAGCTGTACAGTTTGATTTAATTAGTGTTATTTTTGTATGCGTTATGTGACGTGCATTCGTTTTGTCTTTTCCTTTTCTCATATTGGACTCTAGGTGCCTAGAACTGTATATTCGGAGTATATACGAATGTATAAAATGCATGAGATGTTGTAAACATGGAGTTTTCTGGTTTTGTCATCTTGTCAAACCTGGAAGTGCTTTCTTTGGCTGGTGCCTGGACCACTATTATATCGAATTATGCCACTTCTTCATCTGCTTGTCTCACATGCTCCACCGTCGCCTCGATCTTCTCAGTCATCAAATGCTTCACGCCCTTCAAGCAGGCCACGGCGACGATCCCGAGCGCAACAAACGGGACGATGCTCGCCCAGGCCAGATGATACGCATGAGCATAAGCCTGATGGCCGGCGGCCTCTGCGCTAGCCACGATGGAAGCATTGACGCCTGGCACGTCTGCAATCCCGGCTCCTGCCTGCATCGCTTCGAGAAGGGCTGGAAGGGACGAGGTCGGTAAACCGGACTGGACAGCCGCGTGGCTGACCGCTGGCGCCCAGGATGAGCTAAGGGTGCCTTGGATGATGGCGTCGAGGACGGCAGAGCCGAACGCTCCTCCGATGGCTCGAGCTGAGAATGCGAGTCCTGTTGCTGTCGACAGGTGGACGTGGGGTGCTGTGAACTGCACCAGGGCGATGAGGAGCGTCAACGGACCGGCCAAGCCAATGCCGATCAAGACGCTGAAGCCGATCTGGGCTCTGTTCATTTGGGGCGTTATCACCGCGTAGCATATCGATCTAGACATAAGTCACTCAGCTTTCAGTCGAGTCCAGCATGTTCGATTTGCTAACATAAACAGGCGCCTACCCGATTAAGAAAAAGACGAATGAGAAGATCACTGGCCATTTCAGATCTTTAGTTTTGGTAGAGTACAGCCTGAGAGAAATTAGCATTTGTGCGGATATCGAGATGCACTGGCGTACGTGATCAACATGGAAGTAATGGCCGCCGGCCCCGAGCAGGCCAGCCCCCGAAGAGAAATGAGAAAGGCATCCGTCTCGAATCCCAGATAGAGGATGATCTGGGGAATGATGCTGTTGACGGCGCTGTAGAAGAGCCATCCTTCGACGGCAAATCCAAAGACAGAGAGACCGAAGTTGGGCGATCCTTTGAAGAAGACGTGGGCAACCAGGCCGTCGTTGCGACCTTTCCATTCTATATTCGCCATCGATCAGCTTTTTTTCCCCCCCATTTGCTGTCGCTGTCTACCAACTCACCGTATAAACAGAAAAATGCAAAGAATACCAGACCGACGGCAAGATTCGCGGCGACATGAGGATCGGACCAAGCATAGTCGCCAGCTGCCCAGTTCAAAGCCAGGAGAAGGGTCGTCATGCTCGCGACAAACATGAGCGACCCAATGGGATCACACGCCCAGATATGGCTCCTGACAGACATCTTGGGATAATCAGTGCGTCGTACGGGGGTGGTAAAAGATCAGCAATCCGGCAGACGTCGCAAGATGTAGCCCGGCCTGTATCCAGAAGATATCTCGCCATCCTGACGCTCTGACTTTGGTAACTCCGCCAGCGACAAGGCCTCCTGAGCTGCATCATACTCATACATTAGAAGAAAAACTCTACCACTCGTCTGCGCTGCTACTACTTACATCCCGCCGATCGCTCCCCCGAGATAGCAGAACCCATTCGCCAGCGCACGGTACTTCATAGGCAAGATCTCACTCGGGATGGCCTGGACGATGGCGATAGTGGAGAGCGTCGTGCCGATCAAGACGCCGCCTCCGATCAGCATCGACATGGACGTCGCCTTGGCGGAGATGACGGCGCCGATGAACGCGACGAGAGGCGGGATGGAAGCGAGGTATTTCCGATCGAGGACGTCGCTGAGTCGGCCGACGATGGGCGAGAGGACGCTTTGCATGAGGAGGGGTCCTTCTGCAGGCCATCATCAATCAATCAATCAATCAATCAGTTAGATGAGTTTTCTCAACGCTAGTCTGGATGTCTGTAGAACTCACGAATCACCCATCCCGCAATCGCATTTCCACCGCCCAAATCGCGGACGATGAACGCGATCACGGATCCAGCGGCCGTCACGACAAAGACCTGCGCGACAATGGCGAAGCAGGTAGTGAACACGACAATCCAGGATCTCCAGCTGAGCTGGATGCCTGCGTCGGGTTCAGATTCAGGTTCAGGGACGGTCATGCAATCTTTGTCTGTCATGGCAGTCGGCATTGGTGATTTTGCCTCCTCGACTTCGAGAGTGTACGCAGCGTCGTCATCGTTTGCGACCTTTTCTTCTATATGGGCGGGGTCGGTGGTGGTCATGTTGATATCTTATCAAATTAGATAGGTAGGGAAAAGAAACAAAGAAATCTTGCGACCAGGGTTATATTATCCGAAAAGTCACGTCACTGTACTCTGTATAGTAGGTACCGTACATGTAATCAATCTATTGAACAAAGATGCTACAGGTACAGTAGTACAGTACATCCAACAAATCACCCACTTTTATCTGCATAATCTATCTGTCTGTCTGTCTGTCTTTTCCCACCTCACCTCACCCCACACCCCCCGGCCCAGCTGACGGAAAACTACACTTTCCCCAGATTCATACAGCAGCTACTTACCGAAAGAAACAAGCCAAGATGAACTAAATTGCGCGAAAATGCGGGGGAATCAAGTATCCCGTGTTGTCAGCCGTCAGCGTGCCAGTCGGGAGGAGGAGACCCCACAAAGAACCCACCTACACAAAGGGGAGGGGGAAATGCTCCGGAGTATGGGGAAGGACCTCAGATATGGGGTAAAATCGATGAGTCGGCTAATTAATGAGTCAGTCAGTCAATCGATTTGCTTTCTAATAGGTGTGTTCTTTTTTTACATGTACTGTACGTGTTACTACTGAGTATATATATATATAACTCCTGTCTGTCGACGGAAAAACCCCTTTCCTTGACCAATTATTGAACAACAGCAGGTTCTTCCCCTTGACGGGCAGGCAGAAATGCCGAGTTTGGTTAATATATATCGGAGTATTTACGAGTCAATAGGAAACAAAAGAAAGGACAAATGAACGAATGAATGAATGAATGAATGAATGAACTTCAGATACAGGGACCTATCAGACTAGAAGATTAGAAAGAATAAGATTATTAGATGAAAAGCGAGATGAAGTAAACTAGACTTTGTCCCTCCACAGAATCGAAATTAATTAGTTCCTTTCCTCACGGCCATGAGTGCGTTCGTTGACTTGTGCTCGTCTATATATTGTCTAGGTATGTACATAACATAGGTATGATGGGTGAGTGCACTTGATTCTGTCCGATTCTGGTTCTGGTTCTGATTCCGGATGGGTTACTGAATTGCTTACGCACAGTTATTATGAAGATCTTACCACTATTTTTTTTATAAAGACTGTTTCTTGAAAATGTTTTGCGAAGAAAAGTAATTTATTTATTTTTGTTTTGAACAGTCGATAAACCGTTTAGTGTCAAAAACCAGGTGTCTACCCGGTATGTCGCAAGACAGACAGGAGGGATGGCATAGCACTACTGTAGTTTCCAAAATTTAATTAAAAAAAAGAACAGCAGGTGAGTCTGTGTCTGAAGACATGCCTTAAAAAAAATGGAAGAGACGAGAAATCAGAGAGCGATGTGCAGTAAAATAGTAGACGGCGTATAGAAATATATATCTGACAATGAACCCAATTATTCACGTACACATCCCCTTCGTTCTTATCATTCCTTGTTCTTTGAAGAATTAACTATCTGTACAGTATCTGATCTGTTCTCTTCCTAGTCAATTAATTAATCAATTTTTCTAGCAATCCCACAGCGTGTTAGGTATACATGTATATAACTGACCGACCGGCCCAAGTATCCCTCCCCATTTCTACTCTACTTATCTAGGTAGTTGTGGAAATAATTTAATTTTCTTGATTAAATAACTCATTTTTTTATACCTCTATAAATGATGACGAAGAATGATAGTATTGGCTAAAGAGTAGTTAGATGGAAAATGCAAGAAAAAGTAGATTAGATTCCGATTCCCAAGAAAGAAAATAACAACTACTCTACTCTGTAGGTGTTCTAAATTCGGTTTTTTTTTGAAAAGAGAAAAAAAAATCATCGAGCTTCAATTAATGTGAATAGTAGGCAGAGTCGACTGCTGTATTGTACGTGCAGTGCTGTGTCAATCTTTTTTTTTCACAACTAAAATTAAAACGAATGGAATTAAACTCTGGTATCCTGCAAACTATTTTTTTTAAAAAAAAGCAATAAAAGTATTTACCATAACAAGTTACCGTAAACTGTATATAGTCGTTTAATCTTTATGAGAAAGCTAGGCAAGGTAGTTATGATCTAGTACAGTCCGCATAAAATTTTTTTATAGAATTGTCCAATTTCAGTAGTATATGCCAGTTAATTACCACACGCTGTATATACAATTTCCCTGATGCATCATCTTTTGCAAGAATTCTTATCGAGGTGTGGACTATGTACTAGTAGTAGCAGTACAGAGATTATGAAATGAGCCTGTATACAAGACATACCTATCTACCCTCCTCTATCTAGGGAACACTCCACAAGTACTGTACTGCACTGTACTATATTGTAGTTTATCTATCACTTCGCAGGAAAAAAAATAATACCAGACACCTCTCAAAGAGCAAACAAGAGCAGTAGAACTGCAGAAGCCGTCTGTCCGCCTATTCGGCATCTACGGAGTCCATACATCTACCGTACTCCCGTCTGTACCCGGTCCGAGCCCGGACCGGTCAGCCCAGTCTGACTCTGACCGCAGCTAATAATAGCTAGGTAGGTAGCCAGCCAGGTACCTTGCTAGCTACCTAGCCATTACTGTAGCTAGCTAGCTGTGCGGTCACCACGCCGAAGGTCGAATCACCGGGAGAACCATCGGACTCGGAGAAGATAAAAAAAGGGAGATCATCTGGCCGGTTTCCGGATTGAGTATTCCGTACGGAAGAGGAGGTCGTGTAGGGATGAAGAAGAAGTAGATACAGAAGAGAGAATTTCCGTATAGCATCTGATCTACATATGGTATATTAATTATTAGTTTTTGTATTTTTCTGATTAGCGCTCATTCATTCACTCACTCACTCACTGACTTGCTTGTTTGCTCACCTTCTTGCTTGGTGACCGAGTCCTTGGATATCTGATGCTATCTAGTTGATAGTGATGATTCTCTACACACGCAGTTACAGTGCATGCACTCATACACCGGCGAATTGATCGTTTCTCGCTATCCGATTATTACTACCAGCAGGCAACTCGGCAATATTTGCAAGATTCTCGGGAGTTAACTCCGTGATCGTCAGTCACCGGGCACGGTATGGTCAGAAAAATTACCTATCTAATGCTAATTAATTAATCACTCCGTAGAGTAATCCCCTCTGTGGATACTACTAGGTAGGGAGGTAGGAAGGTAGGTAAGTTCAGACAATACATACTAATATTAACACTCATCGTCGACGACGATCATATGAGATCGTCGACTCGTCAGACTTCATGATCGTCTTTCTTACTAGCGAAAGATGCTAACTACCATACGGAGTACTACTATACTACTCCTGCAGCTTACCTACCCACGAGGGGGGCTTATTTTTTTCTTTATTTTCGGTCAATGCCCTAGTCTTAATTGCCGACTAACAAACTAGGTACTCCGTAACTACTGTCGAGAGTCGACTTTCGATTGATTTATTACTGGCTGGTCAGATTATCAGACTAAATTCTTATGCTCCCAGAGTAATAATAAAATGACTACATAGACACTACGTACGGAGTACGGAGTACTTCAGTTCACTTCTCACATGGACCGGCGGTGGAGTTATGCTATGCCTATACTACTACTACCCACCTCTTTCTTACTTACTTGGTTGGTTGCCTGCTTGGTCATTGATTCCAGGCCCAGCCCGCTGATACTGATAGTTGCAGGGACAGTGTGATGGACGATGAGCGGGATCAATCAACTGCGGGATTCGATCAATCAATTTGCTGGTGTGAGTGTGTATAGTATAACCGTGCATGTAGATCATCATCATCACCATCTAGATCAGATGAGATATCCAGCAACTCAGCTTCTGGGTAAGAAAGCAAGCAGGCAAGCAAACAAGTAGTAAGTGACAAACAAAAAAAAAGACAAGACAAGACTCAATTACTCAATTTAGGTATCATCAGTACAGAGTACTCTTCTTATGGAAGTTTTCTTCTTCCAATATTCTTCTTCTTTCCCCTTCAGTTATGTGGAGCAGTGGTGCAGTTTACTATCCCTGCTATCAGAGACTAGGCTATCCTTACCACTGCTATTACTGCTACTGCTATTGCTGCTGCTACCCACTTCTTCTTTCTTGCTTGCTTACCTGATTATTGACTTCACAAACTTCACATTGTGCTAATAATGGTTACAGGGGCAGTGCGATATAGACAACGTCGACAAGTAGGATAGAAGGATGGACTGTGTCCGTCACGCTCAATACTACCATACCTACCATCCCTGTGAGTGAGTGCACTGTGAAGTTCAGTTGAACTATGGGTACAGTAATAATTATAGAACGGAGGATGGAGACTCCGTACATCTTCCGTACATACGTACGGAATGAGGGATCCAGGATCCTAATCCATGATCTGATCTGATTGATCTGCTGTCTGCCTGTCTGTGTCTGTCTGGTATGTATGGAGAGATATTTATAGTATAGTAGTATAGTATAGGTTGCCTGATATAGGTACAGTCACAGCTACCTACTTAGCTACGTAGTAGTTACCTGACCTACGGAACCAATCGTATTTTTCTGGATTCGTGTGTTGATTCTGTTTTTGGTGTTATTATTTTATGCGAGTCTGTCTGTCCTCGACAATAATTATTAATGGCTGATAGTTAGTTATAGCACGAACGGAGTATGTTGGAATTCTCATTGAATAGTGTTGTTCATGTCTGCTAGCGTGCAGATCTCTACCCACCCTGTATGGAGTGCTCCGTACAGATCTATAAAAAGTGATAATCTTACTCTGTAAAGGCGGTGGCCGGTGGCCTATATTTTGCCCCTGCCAATACCAACGATAATAATAGTCCTTCCTCCGTCAATCACAGGCAGGGTCCCGGTGGTTTGAGCACCGGTAGTCCGATAGCTATCTAGCAGCTATGGAGTACAGAGTACGGAGTACCTACCTAGGTTTTTACCGGAAAGCTAATAGCTTGGCTGCTATTAGTGCTTACCGGCAGGGGCCGCAGGGCTGGCAGCCTGGCACTAATTAACGAATAGTCTATTATCCATTAGCTCCGTGTGGATATCAGCCCACGCCCACGGAATTTTTCTTTCCTTCTGTCGACCTTCGACGTGCTTCTATCCTCCGTAGATAATCCGTCCTTCGTATCCCCCGTATTGAGTGCCGAGAGCCGAGACGGAGCGTCACCGAGTCCCTCTTCTAAACATACAATCTGAATCCACAGACGGAGCACTCAGATTCAACCTAGCAACCTCCGTCACTCACCTGACAGGTAACTTATTGTGGTAACGCGTAGTGGACCGGACTGTGGACCACGTAGCGTGGCCGCGCGCATCGGTGGAGAGAATACATCATAGATGGGCAGGCTCGAGATCAACCACCACGTTGTATCAACCCGTCTGCCATAGAGTTTTGAGTAATACTCTAGGGTCGTAGCGTAGCATTCATCCGGCGGCCAGCCAGCGGATGTTCTGCTTCTGCATGATGCACCGTGCGGATCGTCCTCCAACGGTTCCAGCATGACAGCCTATGAGCGCCCCGGATTGACTGGGAGCACCGGCCTTAAAAATAAAACGCACTACGCCAAAATTGGCTAGTCGTGATCTATTCATAGTACTGGGCTTGGTTTGGCTCCAGGATCTGCCAATGAGCGCGCATCCCCGGCGGGACAGGTCCGAATTTATGCGCCCACTCATCTGCCCTCAGAGTCGGTTCCCTTCTACGCGGAGTTACCGAGTCGTCCGGACGAGGAGCCTGCCGTTGGACCGTCATCATCAACACGTCAACAATGACTGCCAATGATCGTGCACGTTCCCGAGCAGCTGCTCCTGGAAAGTTCTTCCGTATCGAGTTTATTGACATGCCAACCAGATTCAGGCTAGCCGTGGACTGTCGGATCAGGTGCATGTCAGCGTCAGCTGGGAATTCCTGCCGTAGATTTCCACCTGGGTGATCTCAGGATGGTTGCTGCGGATCTTGGTGGAAGCTTCGTGCTAGCACTGGACCAAGATCCCGTTGGCTCATCGATGATGTCAAGCGTGGTCTCCGTTGATGAGGCCACCCGGAGAATCTGACGGGACGCCGGCAAACAAGGAGTTTCCCGGCGATGGCCGTCCTGACTCCTGAGATGAAACCACGAGTCCTTGCGTCCTCGACCAAAGGGAGTCTTGGCAAGGGAGGAAAGGAACTGTACAGCCCGTACTCGGTACAAGGGTAGGGATATCAGGGAGAACGAGTCGAACGACGAGGGAGTTGGCAAGCAAAGACTAGCGCTGGCGCGGCAGTGACGTAGTTGTACTCCAGACTCGTATCTCAACTGGATTCTCCCCGCTCGTCGCTAAATTCCGTCCCTCGCGGAGCCGCCCTCGCGACCACTGGATAGTGCGTAGCTAATACCTGCTAAGGTAGGCTGGTAGCCCGTCGATGAACCGGGATTAATCATCCCAATAGTCCATCCAGGATGGCCCCTTGCCGAACAATGCCATCCATCCGCACGGACGTGTTCTTTCTTTCTTTGTAGCCGTCAACACGATGGGATTATTCGCGGTCGGAACGCTGCGAAGCCCATTGGCAAGCTCGCCTAATAGGGTTCTGCTGCAATAACGTGGAAGCTCTTTAGGCCAGCCTTGCTCACCCGGGTATGTCGTTGCTGCCATGCCAACTCACGCAGACGGGAATTTTCGGTTGTCTTCTGAGGCGTCGCGAGAGTGGGACTGCCAGTGGGAACGGAACTCGACAAGCTGCTAAGGAGCAGGGGAAGAAGGCCAAGGAACAGTGTTGTTTGTTCGTTCTTCTGTCGTGTGCGCGGAGCGGGCAGCCTAGGGCGACGAGGCAGCAGCTGCTCTTTCTGGCTTGGCCGCCGCTGCCCCTCTTGGGCAGTCACGCTGGAGTCTGGACGGAAGCGCACCCGGTGGCCCTTGCATTTTCTATGTTTAGCGCAGCGTCATCCGCTCCTTCCCCAAGCACCAGCCATGTGACAGCCGGCCTGGCAGCCAGACGGGCAATTGGCATCCTCTGCGTTACAGAGCACCGGCCTGTAGAACCCCGTCCACGCACAGGGTCGTCTGCTGCAACGCATCTGCTGTAACCAGCGGCCGCAGAGGCAGATTGGAGACCGGATCCAGGTCGCGGGATGCGATGCTCCTCGTCATGCCCGTCCTGTCATGAGGCGGTGCTCGACGCACGCCGGCTCCAGCTGACCCGTCGCCAAAAAGCCCCCGACTCGCAGGCCCCGGAAGGGCGTCGCCGGGTGGATGGGGCGCTTCCCGCCACTGCTGGCCGGCGCATTATGGATGAAGTCAACTATTGAGCGAGCACGGCAACGCTGGGCTGGGATCCGCGCTAAACTGGCCTGGCTGGCAGTCCAATGGCCTTGTTACTCGCAGCTGGCCCAACTCAGCGTGAGCAGCGCTGCTTCTCGTGCAGCCCCCTGTCACGCCCGCCCGCTAACGGGCCCTGTGGTCCTACACGGTGCAAGGCAGGGAAATATATGCTCGCCTCCCGCTTCTCCAGCCTTCTTCTGCCTCTCCTGCTCCTCCTCTTCTCCTCCTCTCATCTCAAGCCTTCCAGATGACGTCGTGAGAGGAAAAGTAAATTTGTGTCTTCGTTACGCCACCCCCCACACTCGCTCTGACGCTCGCTTTGCACTGTTATCACGCTCGCTATTTTGCCGCTGTGAAGAAAAGAAAAGAAAAGAAAAAGAAAGAAAAATATTACAGAGGATCTCGGGTGTAGTTATTACATTTAATTCTTAATTTACCGGAGGAGGAAATCGAACCTGCTGGCATAGTGTCTGTCAACGCTGCCCGCACTATCCCGGAGAGACGTCCAGAAGGCATCGTCTGCCCTCTGATATCGCGGCCGCTCAGTCGTTTGCTCGTTTGCTGTAGTGCTGTTCCCGCCCGGCCCGTTTGTGTGTATCTAGCTTGGTACGTCCTTCCCAGCGTCGATTTTCTTGGTCCCCTGCTGATGCTGTTCCCCGCCAGATCCTGCTCGTTCGTAGCTGACTCGAGACTTGCTGCCTCGGAAGCGCTGGAAGGTCGCAACTAGGAGGCGTGGGTACGTTCAATCGAGGGTTGGTGATCCCCTTCGTCCTGAATCAAACCTTGCATCCATCCTTTCCTCGCTCCTTGCTTCCTGAGAAAGGCTGTCGCCTCTTCTCTCCCTGTGATCCCATCCCTTGTTCATCTGTTCCTAAGCCCTTGTTCTACCCGTTGTGCTGGCTCCGCGATGGCGTTAACCATGCCTCAGGCTTCTGAATTCCTCACCCGTGGTGTTTTGCCAACCCATCTGCTTTTACGCCAACCGTATCTTCCCGGGTAGGCGTGGTTGGAGCTACCATTACGCTGGGTAAGTGCTACGGAATTATGCGACCAGCCGTTTTCCTTTATTAACCTGCTTATCCTGATAGCT